GGCTGGCAGTGGGGGCATGGGCGCTGGGTGCGGTCCAGCCGCTGCCACCGGCCTGTCTCCTCAGCCATCCAGTGCGACCCCGTGCGCCACTGCGCCAGGCGCACCCGGCGCCGGCGCTCGGGCACATCGCACAGGAACGACGCAGGCGTGTAGGCCTCCGCAGAGATGCTGCCCCCCCACACGTCCTCAATGTACCGCTGCACCTTCACGGATGCATGCGTGTACGAGGCAACATGGCGCTCCAGGAGCGCTTCCGCCAATTCAGGTATGGCAACCCCCTCGTCAGCAGTCAAGTCGCAGGGGGCGCCGGCCGCCGCGAGAACGCGGCTAACCTGCGCTGCCCAGGGCTGCCGGGCCAGTGGCAGCCCTGTGTCCGTGTCGGCAGCCAGCGCAACGCTATCCAGCATGGCAAGACGGGCGACCCGCTCGCCGCCCATAGCCTGCAGGTTGCTCACAAAGCGTGCAACCTGCAAGGTCCAGTAGGCGGGCAGCGGCAGCTGCCCCGTCTCTGCCAGCACAGTGAGGGCTGGGGTGCTGTCCCGCACACCCAGCAGCCCTCGCAGGTACTCCAGCTGTACCCGCTCGCATGCCGTCCTGCCCTGCAGAATCAGCTGCGGCGCCCAGATCTCTGCCCCGTACGACAACGTCGGCAGGACGTAAGACTGCAAGCTTGCCAGTGCCATACAGAGATGGCCACTCCAAGCGGCGGCAATTACTAATGTGCCTGTGCCACGATGCGCGACTCACGGCGCTCGCAGAGGCCCCCGCGAAAGCTGCACCCACACACGCCCTCCCGGACCTGCTCATGTCTTGCCTCTCCTCTGCTGCAGATCACAACCGCAAAGGCCGGCTGCCGGAAGATTGGGGCGGGATACTCCACCTGGGCCTGGAACCGCACCGTGACCGTGCCGTACACTCGGCCGGCAGCTGCTGACAATTATCACCTCCATTACTGCAGGACGTGCCAGCCCCGTCTCGACCAATGCGTGCTCAAGTGGTGAGCGAGCCAACGACCTTGCTCGCCGGCTGGGCAATTCCAGCGGCGCGCAGGGGCCTGGCTTGGGGAGCCCACCACCTCCAAAACACACACACGTGTATGCAGGGGTGCGCCCCTCCCCACGAGGCGCCGCCCGCAGTGCTGCCCCATGCACTGAACTCTCCCGCCCCTGCACCTTGTTGCCCAGGTTTGGCACTGCCACAGCATGCTATGGCGCTTGCCCCACTGGTTGGACCCCCGTGGCCAGTCCCGGCCTCGGCATTCAGCCATACAACGATTATGACTCGCCCTACGCCTGGTATGGCCACGAGTGCTGGACGGGCAGCGGCAAGGTGCTGTGCAAGCTGTGCGGACGCAAGGAGTGCAACGGGTGCCAGTACTCCTGGTAAGTGGTGGCGGCATGGGGGGTGTGGTCGTGCTGGGTGCGCGTGCCGCTTTGCCCAACTGGCACGTTCCTCCAGCAGCCGACCGCGGTGCCCCCCTGCCTCCCATGCACCTCCCCCCCCGCGGCAGGAGGGGCACAGCGCCCAGCTGTTACGACACCTGCGAGAAGGGGGAGACGGTGGTGGCGACAGACAAGTACGGCGACGGCGATGCTTGCAGCACTGATGGCTATGGCTACAAATTCCTGTGCGAGGTGTGCCTGTGTGGAAACTGCTGCCCACGGACAGCTTCCCTGTCATTTGGTGTGCGTGCTGATTGCTGCGCCCCCTGTTTGCTCACTCGCAGAAGTGTGCATCGACTGTGTATGATACGAGCCAATGTAGTGAGCCCACTGAATGGCTGGGCACTGCCTGGATGTGCCAAGGTGATTGGAAAGCATGTGTGCCAATTGTTGGGTTTAGCAGCCTGCAGCCTACAGCTCTACCGGCCGCGGCCGCGGCTAAGAAAGGCCTTCTTTGAAGGCGCTGGAGCTAGTGTCTAAACCCTCCGAGAGGGCACAGGTTCGATTCCTCTCATGTCGAAACTTTGTGAGGACAAACGCGGCATAGCTGACCGGCTCAGTGCCAATCCAAGCCAATTCCTTCGGGAACGCCTAATAGAATCGCCAAGGCTTCGGCACAGGCCTCCCCGGGACCCATTCACTACTAGTGGGGGGTACTGCACTTGGCGCGTCGGGCAGATCAAATAATGGTCTAAAGCTAGACGTTAAAACCGGGAAGTTAAGCTTGTGGAGGCTCTTCCCCACCTTTACCTTTATCTACCAGCATGGCTTGCTAGCCCAGGGTTGATCACCAAGAAAGAATAGCATGTGTGTTTCCGCCCAATATCCCCGGATCCATTCTTGTGGTGCAGGCGAGTGCGATTTGGGCCAATATGTATACGATCGAAGTAAGCAGGGTGACGGCGCCAAGTAAGCTCCCTCCAGCGAACGGCCATCGGTTGCAGGATGGCTGAGCAGGGGGGCTGAGCGGCTGTCTGCTCTCCCCGCCTATTCACATAGCTTGCCTGCATCTCCTCACCAATGTAAATGTCTGGTATTGCTGACTTCAAATGCTTTTGCTCTTTCCCGTCTTCATGTAGGTGCTGGGATGCCTACGGTAGGGCTGACGCCTGCGGGTGGCATGCCATGTTCTTGCCACTACCTTGCAGATGCATGATGTGGCCACACTCTATGCAGCGGTGTTCAGCCTCTTGATTTGCGCCGCTCATGTTGCTGCTGCTGCAGGGTGGAAAGTCAGGCACGCAAGGGTGGCAGGGCACGATAGGAGACGGTTGGGGCTGCAGCGCGTGGCGTGCGTTTTGTGCCGGCCCCCTCCCCACTTCACCCCCGCCACAACCACACCCTCATCTGCCTCACATGTGCAGGTGCCAGACCTGCCCTCTGCTTCCTTACTCTCTTCCACTCGAATCTTCTCAGGCTGTTGCCACTGCGGGTAAGTTCACACCCACTGCTTGAACCAGCGTTAAGCTGTTGCAATGCTCTGTTTCCCTGCTGGCAAAGCTGCCGGCAACCAGGCACCAAGCAAACGCGCGCGTGCCCATCAAACTTGCTACCGCCCCCCCCCCCCCCACTCTTGCCACACCCTCCGTGCAGCGCCCCGCAAGCGTTGCTACAAGCGCAAATGTGGGGCACCCCGCCGTGGCGCTCGCTTTCCCGACAAGCCCGCCTTCCGAGTGCCGGGTGTGACCACTTATGGCGGGTGCTGCAAGCTCTGCCGCACAGCCACCGGCTGCCTGAGGTTCCATGTGGGGCCCTCGGGCTGCTCCATCTACAGGACCAGGCCGCAGGCGCCGACCATGAGGTCCAAGCGCTTCACAGCCTCTTACCGTGAGTGGGCTGGTGTGGGGTTGCTGACCGGTCAGGTACCTGAGCGATCAGCAGCGCTGGTCTTTGTGACCCTTTCCGTCGCTGCCCTGGTGCCGCCACCATGCAGATGTGCTGTCTTCTTAGACACCGGTGGGAAGCAAGACGGCAGCGCAGCTGACTTCAGCATGCACTGCCTGCACCGAATGGTCGCATTTCAGCGTCACCCGCCAAGAGCCCAGCAGCTACGCCAGCCCTCTGCTACTCTGCCACCACCAGCAGCCAACCGGGGCATAGTTTTTAGCGCAGCATAATTGCGCAGTTGCATGCACACCCGTCCTTTCGTTGCAGCAAGATATAATCGAAAGCTGCACAAGGCCAGGCAGTGCTTAAATTATTGCGCCGGGAAGCCGGAGCGCCCGCCCAACAACACACAAAACCCCTTCTCACACTCTCAGCACCGCTGGCCCACGCGCCACCCTCACGCCTCGCCGCTGCTGCCCGCCGTGCCCACCGGGGTCAGCAGCTCGTACTCGCTGTCCACCCAGCTCTCCACGTCCCGCAGGAAGCAGCCATAGGCGATAGCCTCCAGCACGGCCCGCCGCTGCGTTCCCACGGTCATGACAACCGTCTCCACCCGCCCCTCTGCCACCGCCTCCTGCACCCGCTGCATGATCTCCTCCTGCGCACCACACAAATGCGGGAGGGAGGGAGGGCGAGAAGCGTGTGGCGGGGTCAGGGGCAGGAGCACCTCCATCCCTGTCACTACAGCAGACTTCCAGCAACGCATGCAATCGTGCAGGCCCCGGGTTTGTCCTCCCTGCGACCCCATGCAGCCTTCCGACCCCTACCCAGGCTCACCATGCTGCCCGCATCCTGCCCCACCGCCTCCTGCATGCTCTGCTGCAGCGCCTTGATGTCGCCGAACAGCGCCTGGGTCTGCCGCTCAGTCAGCGTGGCGGACTCAATGGTGACCAGCCTGGCAGGAGGGGAGGGGCAGCAGCAGCGGGCAGGACAGGCGGTTGTGTGTGTGTGTGTGTGTGTGTGTGTGGCCGGGCCGGGCCGGGCAGGGCCCGGCCGGGCAGGGCAGGCAGGGCCGAGGTGCCCTGGCGAGGTCAGCCCTGGCGGCAGCAGAAGCGGCGCTGCACCAGCAGCAGCATGCCAGGGCGGAGCAGCGTGCCCGGGCAGACGGGACAAAGAAGCCCAGCGGGCACCCACCGCGCCGTCTCCAGCATCGTCTCCTGATCGAAGCTCTCCACATACCGCCGCAGCGCGCTCTTCTGCCGCCGCACCAGCCCCGACCCGGGCTCCTCGCCTGCGGCCGACGCCCCGCTGGCGGAGCTAGAGTAGGAGGTGGACGGCTCGCCCTCTGCCGGCGGCTCCAGCGGCGGCGCGGTGTCGGGGTCTGACGACGACTCCAGCTCATCCGCCTGCCAGGGAAACCGAGTGGGGGTTGTGTGTGGGTGTGAATGTCAGAGTGTGTGTGTGTGTGGGGGGGGGGGGGGATACACTTGGAGGGGAGGCTCCAGGGCTGGCAGCCACCAGCCTCAGCGCAGCATGCCGCACCGCCCAGCCCAGCCCAGCCTAGCGCATGCCGTCAGATCCCGGCACAAAACGCGGCGCATCACAGAACGGCAGAGCCAAAAGCAAAAGCCTCCCCTCCCCGCCCCACCTGCGCAAACAGGCGCTCCAGGCGCGCCACGGCGTCCTCGCGGCTGGCGGGCAGCACGCCCAGCTGGCGCGCCAGCTGGAAGCGGGTGTCCACTCGGCGCAGGAAGTAGCCAAACATGATGGAGGCGGCGTAGACCTGCGGTACCATTGCAGGGCGGGACAGGCGGTACAGCACGCATTGCAGCGGCAGGCAACGAGGCGCATGCGGAAACAGGCGGCCCCCGTTCAGCGGCGTCCCGCAACCGCACACACCGGCGCATATACACCACCCCACCCCTTCCTTGCCGTGCCCGCCACCACCGCGGCGCCAGCAACCGGCGCGCGCCGCGCGCCCGCCGGCCCCGCACCTGCGCCGCCTGCAGCTTGCTCATCTTGATCATGGTGTTGGAGAATGCCATGGAGGCGGGGCCCAGCACCGCCAGCACATGCTCCTTCACCATGTCGATCGCCTCGCGGCTGTGCACGCCCTCTGCGGCCACGCAGGCGCAGGGCAGGGCCAGGGGCAGGGCAGGGGCAGGGGCGGGTTAGGCACAAAGGGCGGGCAGGCTGGGGCCACGGTGGCAGGCAAGCGTGGCAGGCAAGCGTGCCAGGCGGCGGTGGAGGGGCAACGCCGGCTGCATGGGCGCTAGCTGTGGAGCAGCGGGTGCATGCAGCACAGAGAGCCATCTTCTGCAGCCGCTGTCTAGCCGCTGCCGCCGTCTTCCCACTGCCGTCTTTCCACAGCCACCCACCCGTCAGCGCACGCAGCGTGGCGGTGCTTTCCTCAACCGGCTCCACCCTCGGCAGCATGTCCACACCAATCTCCTGCAGGGCAGCAGAAGCAGGCCGAGGGGTGGGCAGGCAGGCAGGCAGCCACGAGGCAGCCACGGAACGGCTCCGCACATCAGGACAGCTGGCCAGCCACACACGCCGCAGCCCGCCAGCACGAGTCGCGCCACCACCAGCCGGGCGGCCAGGCAGCCGGGCAGCCGGGCAGCTGCCCCGCGCCCGCGCCTCCCCGCACCCTGCACCACCCCTAATAAAAAATCTTGGAAGCCTGCGGCGCTGCCCACCTGGAACTTCTCCAGGATGCAGACGTACATGAGGTCCTCAATCGCCAGCATCTGCTCCAGCCGCTTCACCTCAGCCATGCGCCGGTACAGCACCAGGTCGGCGGCGCCGGAGGCTGAGGCGGCCGCGTCCCCAGCCGCCGAGGCCTGCGTGTGGTGCGCGGCGGCGTGGTGGGTGGATGCTTGTCGTGTGTGGGGGGTTGCGGGCGAGGGGTCGACCAAGGGATGCGGCAGGAGGTGCTGCTAGGGAGCGCTGCATGCCTCGCGCCGGCCACAGGCAACCGGCTTCCCTGGAAAGCGATGCGGGGTTGAGCATCGCGCCGGCAGCTGCCCGGCCGGCCGCTTGGCTGGCCTGGGGCCGCACCTGCTGGGAGGCCTCCTCTTGCGCCCGCTCCGCCGCCTCGTCGGCCTGCCGCTGCTCCTTGATGCGCTGGAATGCGGTCTGCACAGCCTCCTGGAACAGGTGGGGCTGCATCTGGAGGTAATACGCAGCCATCTCGCCGGTGGGGGACTTGGGCTTGGAGGGGGCCTGCAGAGGAGGGTGGGTGGTGTGGCCGTTCGGTAGGTTTCGGCAGGGCGGCCGCGCGTCGGCAGCAGGCACATGGCGGCGGCGCCACCAGGCATCGCAGTGGTCGCTGCCGTCTGCGCGGACGGGCTGCAGATCCGCAACGCGTGGCAAGCCGTGCGGTGGCTGTGGGCCGTGGGTGGCTGTTGCAGTGGGAGAGTGCCGGCACATGGCGGCGGCAGCGGCGGCGGCACCCGATCTCCGGTGTGGGCCCACACGCGGCCGCAGGTCTGGCCTCACCAGAGCAAATGTGTTTGTTTCCTCGGCGCCCCCTGGCGCATTCTCGGCCGCCGCCCTTGTCACCAGGTGCCGCCGTCTCAGCGCGGGCTTGCTGGCCAGCGCCGGGCGCCGGGCGCCTGATGGCGCACGCAGGCATGCTGCTGGACGCAATGCCGCCACGCAGGTTTGCATCTGGGGGAGTGTCGGCGACATGTGGTGGGTGGTGGCTGGCGGTGGCCACAAGCAGCAGGAGCGAGGGAACGTGACAGGGTTGCAAGCAAAAGGCAAGCATCGGATGTCGTCGGGGGTTGGCGCCGCCAGCGCGCCGCCACATGTGACCACAGGGTCGCCACTTCCGGAGAGCCACAGGTAGCCTTGTGCTGCTGCTTACACCCTCCAACCACACAATCAGCACCACCCACTCCCTAGCTCTCTTATCAGCAGCAACTATTGGTTACATGTCCACTTCTCAATCAGTAAGGCGCCCCTCGCCGCTGCTGCTGGTGCGGGTGCGTGTGGTGCTGGTGCGAGTGGTGGTGCTTCCGCGCCGCACCCTGCTCCCTGCCGCTGCCGGTGCTGGAGGCTCCCCCGGGGCGGCCCTGCTGCTGCTGCTGCGGCGGCTGTCCCGCTGCCTGCTGGGCCAGGCTCCAGACGCACAGCTTGGAGTCCTCCCCACCAGACAAACACATGCCGCCCACGGCGCCTGGCCACAGCACCGAGCGAACCACATCGCTGTGCGCCCCGCCCGCCAGCACCGCCTGCGGCTGCCCAAACAGCTGCACCTGCCGCCGCGACTGCTGCTGCTGCTGCTGCGCAGGCGGAGGCGGCGCCGCACCATCCTGCTGCATGCCATCTCCTTCTCCGCCGCCGTCGCCACCGCCGCCGCCGCCGCCGCCGCTGCTGCTGGCCGCCGGCTCCACCACAGGGAACAACCCTACCGCGCCAGCATTGTTGCCCGCCAGCAGCCACAGCTGGTCTGCTGCTGCGTTGTACTCGCAGCCCACCAGGTAGTCCAGGCCGGGAGCCAGCGCCTGGCCCGCTGCACACCCCGCCGCCGCCGCCGCCAGCTGCTCCCGGGCGTCCAGCGCCTCGGCCAGCGCGCCGTTGCCGCCTGCGGGCGAGGCGGGGCAGCGAGAGGCGTGTGGGGCGGGGAGGAGGAGCAGCGCGGCAGCCGTGCGGTAGCTGCCGGGCGCGCGGGACCAGCCCATGAGAGGCAGCTGCCTACAGAGGCTGGCCGAGGTACGGCGCCCCTGGCGCGCACACCTCCCCTCTCACTGCCCCGGCATCCTCATCACCCATGCCCACACCCATGCAACCGCGCCCACACTGGCGCTCATAGCACACCCACCCGCAGCATCGTCGTCGCAGGCGGCCGCCCACTCCCACAGGTGCAGGCTCTCCACGCCGCTGCGTGCCCACAGCCGCTCGCCCTGGCGCCCGTAGAAGCCCAGCTGGGCCACAGAGGTGTCGATGTTGAGGGCGGCCTTGAAGCCCTCGTCCTCGTCTGCAGTGGGTGGAGAGGGCGGCGGCGGCGGTGGTGGTGGTGGTGGTGGTGGGTGGGCCGGGGAGGAAGATGTGGAGGGAAGGGAGCTGCGGGCGGTGCAGTACCTGCTGATGCATCACATGAAGGGTTTCCCAGCCAGGACACGCGAGCGAGGCTGGCTCCTGGAGGCCTGCGCCGCCCTGCCGCCGGCCAGGCTGCCAGCCGCACCAAGCAACAGCAAGCGCGCCCCCCGCACCTAGCTGCCGGTGTTACTACTCAGGGCCCTACCCCCCCGCACCTAGCTGCGGCACGGTGTCAAACACGGCGATCAGGCCGTCCTCGCTGGCGCTGACCAGCATGGAGCGGTGGGTGGGGTGGAAAGCCACCTGGGTCACGTCCTGGGCGTGCGTGTCGGCAAAGGAGGCCACGGGGCGCTGCACAGGGAGGGAAGAAAGAAGTGGGGGCGCAGGGGCAGGGCTCGACGGGTGGCCGCAGTTTGGCACAGGGGCAGCCCTAGCCCATGCTGCAGCGGCGGGGTGGAGCCTCCATCAAACAGCCGCCAGCACCAGCCCGGCGCCCAAGCAAGTAGGGTCCTGCCGAGCAGCACTCGGCCACAGCCAGCTCAGGAGGGAGCAGCCTGCACCCGCAGCGCCCCGGCCCAGCCAGGGGCGCACCTGCGTGCGCCGGTCCCAGAACAGGACCTTGTCGCCGCCGCCTGCCGCCATGAGCGCCCCGTTGGTGCTGCACGACAGCAGCTCCACGCGAGGCGCCGCGTAGCTGCAGGGGCGGGCGGGAAGAGGACAGGTGGGCGGGGAGGGCGCGATGGGGTCGAGTGGCACGGTGGCATGCACGGGTGCAGCACAGTCAGCATTGAAGGCAGCGCCGCCAAGACAGTAAGTTCAGCAGCGCCCCCGCCCGGCGCACACATCTTGGTGCCCCCATGGGCTGGGCCCTGCCCTGCTCACCTCTCCACCTGCTGCCCCACGCGTGCGTCCCAGCCGCGCACCGTGCCGTCGGCGGCGCATGAGTGCAGCAGGTGCGGCTGGTCGGGGAGTGCGAAGCTCAGCTCCCGCACCATGCCCTCGTGCCCCACCAGGTCCCCGGCAAAGGTGAGGCCGCCCTCGCTGCAGCAACGCGTGGGTGGTGTGTGCAGAGGGCGTCGGCGGCCAGGCAGCGGCGGCGGCGGCGGCAAGCGGCGGCCGGTACCCTGCGCTGCCTCTGCACCACACCCAGCGGCCTCCAAACACCTGAAATTGAACAGCTTGATCCGCGTGTTGCTCAGGGAGGCGGCCACAAGGCCGGCCCCATTGTGGCACAAATCAAACACGTATGTCGCGTCCTTGTTGAAGTCCACACGGATGGAGGACACGCACTGGAAGCCGGGGGTGCCGGCAAAGGCCGCATGCGCGGCGGGATGTGGAACAGCTGCTGCGGGCGAGGGACCGGGCCCCTGGCCATCGTCATCATCCAGAAAACGGATGTGCATCGTGCCAAGAGCGTGTTGCAGCCGGCATCGCCCGCCTCAAGACTGCATCGGCAACCGTAGGTACTTGGGCGCAGTACGTGGCGAAAATGGAGTGATCAGGGCGCCCGGTACGCATCGCCTATTCATGCAATCACTGCTGAAGTCTCCGGATAACCCACAGCCGATCAACCCGCAATGGCCACCATTCAGTGGCTGGGAAGCGGCTTTGCGCTGGCAATTGGCCTCGTGATCGGCTGGCTTGCCAAGGTAGGCGGTGGTGGTGCTCTGCGCTGCACGCCGCCTGTGGCCTGCCGCCTGCCGCCTACCGCGCCTGCCGGACTCGGGCGCAGCAGTCCGGCCTTTCACCTCACGGCACCCCTGCCTGCACCCGCATCGCTGCAGGCACGGGTGGACGAGGGGGGCTATGACAGCGACGAATCGCAGGAGGCTGGAGCAGGAGGGGGGCGGCGGCGGCGCGGCGGCGGGCCCGCCAGCCTGGCCGCTCCCCGGGAGGAGCTCAAGATGGTTCTTGTGGTGAACGATGAGTTGAAGATGGGCAAGGGCAAGATAGGTGAGGCGGGGGAAGGAAGAGGGAGGTTTTTCATGAGACTTTGCCGCAAACACGCCAAACCAACTTCGGCGTGTTGCTTGTGTCTGGGGCACCTGAGAGCAGCTGCAGGAACGTGGCGGGCCAGCCGCGGCAGCCTCTCAGCCCCAGCTGCCCTGCACCCCTGCCGCCGCCTGCAGGCGCCCAGTGCGCGCACGCGGCGGTGGGCGCTGTGGAGCGGCTGCACGAACGGCGCCAGACGGCCGCTCTGCACCAGTGGGAGGCGTGCGGGCAGCCCAAGGTCTGCCTGCGCGGCGCCTCCACGCTGGTGAGCCCTTGCTGCTGGCTGGTCGCCGGAAAACTGGGGCTTTCCCAGCCCTGCATCGCCTGCCTGCATCGTCTGGCCACCAGGGATTCATGGCTTTTCAATGCATTTCCTTCAGTGTGGTTCATGGCCCTCTCCGCGCCTGCGCAGGAGCTGCGGCAGCTGCAGGCGGAGGCCGCCGCGCGCGGGCTGCCCACCTTCATCGTGCAGGACGCGGGGCGCACGCAGGTGTGCGTGTGTGTGTGGAGAGGGGGGGTGGAGCTGGCGCCTGCACCGCTTCTCTGGTGACCTGCCTCTGCTCGCCGCCTGCAATCTCCCCAGCGCCACAGCCTGTGGCCTGGATCTGGAGACTCTTTATGTTTCGACCGCCATCCAGCAACACACACGCACACTCTTGGCCTGCCCTCCCCGCAGGTGGCCCCCGGCAGCCGCACCGTGCTGGCCATTGGCCCCGCCCCAAAGAGCGCAGTCAACCAGGTCACGGGGCACCTCAAGCTGCTGTGAGGGCTAAGCCACAGCCCTCTGTGGGTGTGGCTTGCTGCGAGGGCCAAGCCTTGAGGGAGCCAAGAGCGATGGCGGCAGGGAGAGCAGCCGCCAGCAGGAGTCAGCGGTGGTGCTCATGCATGCGGGCGTGGCGGCACGCCACACCAGCTGTCCCCATCCCGACGTGCAATGTGTTGCTGCGCCTCCTCGCTCCAACAGCACTCGTGGTTGGCAGTGTTTACGGTGGCAGAGAGTGTGGCGATGGAGAGACCAAAAGGCAGGAGAGTGAAGGTACCGTACGGTACGCTGGAAGCGGGACCAGGTGCAGCGGCTGTGCTTGAATTGACAAAATGCGTTTTGTGGAGTCCAGTGCACCGAGCAACACTCCGGTGGGAGGGCGGGGGCTGAGAGCGAACAAATACGTAACAGGTAAGGGCAAGGCTTGGAGTTGGGCTGTTGCGGGTGATAAGGGCTTCTCATGAGTTGCACATGGCATTTCGCACCGGGCGCCTCCAGTCACGACGGGCCAGTGCTGAGCTCGACCGCTGCTGCCGCCTCGCTGCCGGCTGCCGCCGCGGTCGCGGCCACCGCGGCGGCCGCCGCCACGGGTCGCGGGGGCGTGGCGCGGCGGCGCAGCAGGCGGCGGCGCTGCTGCTGGCGGGCCTCCTCGCGCTGCGCGGCAGCTTCCTGGCGGCGCCGCAGCCAGGCGTACCGCACCCTGAGCTCCATGAGGTAGATGATGAGCAGCGGTATCGCGGTGAACAGCAGGCCCCGGAACGCCGCCGCCGCTGCGCGCAGGCAGGCAGGCGCAGGCACAGGCGCAAGGTCGGGAAGCTGGCTCAACTGTGGCTCACAATTGCGTGCCAGGCACGACAGCGGCCTCCCACCATGCACACACACACGCACACACACACGCACACACACGCGCGCAGCCCGGCGCGCTCACCCATGCAGCGCAGCGTGGGCACTTGTGTGTGGAACCGGGCGCAGACCTCCGGGATGACGCCCAGGTTCAGCAGGAAGCAGGCCAGCAGGGTGGGCAGCTGGCGACAGAAGCGCATCTGCGGACAGGGAGGATGTGAGGGGAGGGGAGGTGGTGGGGCTGTGTGCGCGTGCATGGTGTCGGGCAGGGGGCGCACACAGGCGCACCGCCAGGCAGCAGCCAAGCAGCAGCCAAGCCGCCCGGCCTGCCGCCAACTCCTGCTGCCCCACCTGCAGCAGCAGGCCGTCCACCGTGATCCAGGCGAACCCGGCGTTGATGAAGCGGGCCTGGGACCTCTGCGTGGCGGCGCAGGCAGGCAGGAGCGCAGCGAGACGCTGAGGCTTGGCTCGGCGTGCTGCCCCGTCACTGCCACCTGGAGGCACCCACCTCACACACACACACACACACTGCAATGTGCCCGTACACACCATGCCCGCCACCTCCGCACCGCCACCAGGCATCCTGCCGCCAGCAGCGTGCCACACACACGCACGCACACCGTGCCCCGATCGACGCCTCCGCGCCCGCCACCAGGGCAGCATGAAGGCAGCCCACCTGCGAGACCTCGCTGTTGATGAAGTTGGCCGACGCCTGCTGCACCAGCAGCGCCAGCAGGAAGAAGGCCTGCATCACGTGCTCCCGCCGCTGCACATACCTGCGGGGAGCGCACGGCGCAGGGGCACGGGTTGGGGCAGATGAGCAAACTGGCGGTGAGAGGCAGCGGTGCGCGGGCCACGCTGCTTCGTGCATCCGCACTCGCCAGCCTGCGCTCCCTAGATGGCTGCCTAAGCTCCCCCCACCTACCGCCCCACCCCATGCTCACCAGTTGCGCAGCGGCCCCGGCGCAAGCGCCAGCAGCGGCAGCGACAGGTTTGCTGCCAGCGCCACAAACAGCGGGTGGCCCACTCGCACCACGGCGGTAGGGTCCTTGGCCAGCAGGATTAGGATGGAGAGCAGGATGAGGCTGCCCGCGGCATCCATCTGCGAGGCAGGGGCGGCGAGGGAGGGTGGGCCGGGGGGTGGGTGCAGGCAGGCCAAGCTGCGCAGGGCTGCCCAGTGTGGCACAGCACCACTGCGCCACATGCCGCCGTTCGTGGTGCTGCCCGCTTGAGCAAAGCCTGGCTCAGCCCACCTTATCTGCCATGAGTCGAGAGTGATATAGCCGGAACTCCTGCTCCAAGCTGGGCTGCGGCAGCAGCGGCAGCCGCTCCCGCTGCGTCGGCGAGCCCGCCGCGTGCCCCTCCACCCCCTCAGCCGCCGCCGCTGCTGTCGCATGCTGCTGCTGGGGCACCGCTGCCGCCGGATGGGGCTCCTGGAAGCGCAGCAGGCGGTCGACGTGGAGCCCTCTGCGGGTTGCTGGCAGCAGCAGCAGCTGCTGCATGAGCAGGCGCAGCGGGAGCAGCGCGTCGCGCCGCGGCGCCGCCTGCCTGCTGCCGGGCGCGGCTTGCTGCCGCACCTCGGCTGCGGCTGCTGCTGCTGGCTGCGACTCGGGAGCACTGGCATCGGAAGCTGTGCGCTCTGCCTGAGGCGAGTCGTGGCTCTGCCGCGGCGAGGGGCTGTCTAGTGGCAAAGAGCCGTGGCTGCGGCCCCCTGCTGCCAGCGGTGCCGCTGCCGGCTGGCTGCTGCACCCGCACACTGGCGATCCGCACGGTGGGGCGCCCTCCGCTGCTGCCGCTGCTGCCGCTGCTGCTCCGGCTGTTGCTCCTGCTGCTGCTGGAAGGGCTTCATCCTCTTCCCCTGACGCCTCCTCGCCGTCCTCACTGCTCTCCTCTTCGAGCTCTAACTGCTGCTCTCCTTGCTGCTGCTGCCCATCCAACAGCGCTAACGCTTCTGCCGCCGCCGCCAGCTCTGGCTGCGCGTGCTGCACCAGCGCTGCCGCCAGCCGCAGCAGCCCCCGCATGCGCTGCTGCACATGGCCCTCTTGCTGCTGCTGCTGTGGTGGGTCCTCCTCCTGCTGCTGCTGCTCTGCCGTTGTCCGGCTACCAAGCAAAAGCGCTGCAGACAGGCTGCTGCCCCCCTTGCTGCTGCTGCTGCTGCCGCTGGCGGCGCTGTCGTCGCCCCAAAGCGGCGCTTTGAAGGGCAGGCAGAGAAAGGAGGCGGCTTCGCACTGCGCCGCCGCCGTATCGACATCGCTCCAGGCCGGCTGGCCCCTATGGTGTGTGTGGCTCTGCGGCCTGCCTGCCAGGATGGCCTCCCCGGCAAGGCAGCAGCGCAGGTCGTGAACACCGGCGCTGGGTGCTGCCGCCGCTGCCGCCGCTGCTGGCTGCGAAGCACCATCCCCAAAGAGGTTGGGGCTGATCAGGACCAGCTCGCCGCCAGCTGAACAACCAGGCCCAGGCTGCCGCCTGCACACTGCCAGCGCCAGGTAGCAGCAGCCCGGGAAGAGGCGCACAGCCTCTGCCGCCGCTGCCGGGACGCCGCCACCCAGCAGCGCACCGCCGGCGGCGGCGGCCAAGGTCGGCAGGCCGCCTGGCCCCGGCTCCATCATGCCGGGTCGGCCGCAGGGCAGCCAATCAGGGCGCTGCTACGAGCAGCAGGGCTGTGAGCACAAGTCTTGCGGTACGCGCTGCTTCTGGGAGGCACAACGGAGGCACTGGGCGCTCTGGCTGGGCCACAGGTCGCCACAAATGCGTGGGAAAAAACAGCCTCACGCCCCTCTTTAGGTAATCAGGAACCCTTCCTCCAGCTCACAACCTCGGGACCAGAGCATGCATTCGGGTAAAGATATGAGGTGAGAAGATGGAGAGGAAGAGTGCAGGCAGTCGGCGCGGGTGTGCCGGCCGAGTTTGCGGCCGCCGCCTGCAGGCCCGTGGCCGCCGCCACTGTGGATCCTCCTCAGGCCCCTGCTGCTCCAAGCAGCAAAATTTTCGATATGGTCGCAGTGGCGTTGAAGGTGCAATGCACCTTGTTCAAATGAGTCGCCATTGCAAAACCGTGCACAGGTGAAGTCATCGCCATGCATGACGCGGCATGCCGCCAGTCTCGCCGCTTGGGGGCTTCTTCCTAGAAGCAACCTGGATCCCAATTGGTAATCGCATTTTGAGTGTAAGGCTCATGCATGTGGGCCTGCAGTGCGAGGTGGGCCCCATGACATTGATGTGCGGCGTGGCGGGCAGCGGCATGTGTCAGCGGCATGTCTGAATGTTTTGAGGGCTCCGCCCGCCATTCCAATGCACCATCCCCAAATCACAAGCCTCTCTATGAATCTCCCCAGGCCCGTGGGGCCCCCAGTGGACCGCGATCATTGGGTTTGTGTACTGCGCCGTCCTGCCGCCGACCCACGCCTCAGAGGCCGCCCCAAGCCCCGGCATGGCCCCTGTCCGATCATGGTCATGAGCTGCAGCCCCGCATCCACCATGCGGTGCGTCAAGCCCAGCAGCGTACAGCAGCTACGCCGCGCCGCCTCATCGGTAGGGCTAGGGCGGCGGGGCGTGGCCACTGCCTCGGTCGCGGTTGATCACGGCAGCTACACGGGAGTCGGCGTCTCGCCGCCTGCAAAGGGCCATCACTTCCTGGTGAGCACGCCTCGCCGCCGCTGGCTGCCGCCTGCCACACCGCTCGCTGCTTCTCCAGTAGCTGATCGCTCCTCTCTTCACGCCCTGCAGCACATCGATGACTTTGACCGTGATCAGCTACGTGAGTGGGCAGCGGTGGTTGCCCGGCGCCACCGCCACGAAGCGGCCTGGCAGCGCCACGCCATGCGGCGCGACCCGCTCCTGCAATCCCAGCTGCCGCCTGTACTGCTGCGCGGCACGCCTGGGCAGGGCACTGCGACTACCACCAACCCATCAGCAGCACCGCCGCGGCGGCGCTGGTCCAATCTCCTTCCCCGCCTCCTCCACACACCCTCCAATCCCTGTCCACCCTCCCCACACGCCGCCCCACTTCCCTCCCCACCCGCAGTGGCCATGCTGGAGACGGCGGCGGAGGTCAAGGCACGGCTCAAAGCGGACGACCAGAGCTTCAAGCCGTTTGCGGGCAAGAGCCTGGCCATGATCTTCACCAAGCCCTCCATGCGCACCCGCGTGTCATTCGAGACGGTGAGGCACGGCGGCGGCGTGTGGGGGTGCGGGCCACACGTATAGCGGCTGCGGCGGCGACGCGGCGCGGGGGCGGGGGTGGCGGGGCCCGCCGAGGGCCGGCGAGCAGCGTGTGGGCGTGGCAGCAGACGGCGTGCCCGCCGCCGCCCCGGCCCGCCCCACGCCGACCCTCCCGCCCTGCCTCCCTGCCCTGCGCAGGGCTTCTTCAAGCTGGGCGGCCACGCCATCTACCTGGGCCCAGACACCATCCAGCTGGGCAAGCGGGAGCCCACCAAGGACATCGCGCGTGTGCTGGCACGGTGCGGCGGCGCCTGGTTTGGTCGCCCTTCGCTCCTGCACCACCCTCCCTCCTCTCCCTCCTCCCTCCCTCCCCCGCCCCTCCTTGCACCCCAGCACTGCGGTTCAGGCCCCCAAACACGAACCCTGTCCCCAGCTCCCAACACACCTCCCTGCCCGCACCTCCCAACACCTCGCCTACCTGCTGTCCTCCACACCTCCCAGCCTCACACCTGCACACATGCCCGCCCCCCCTGCTCCCCACCCCCCTCCCTGCAGCTACAACGACATGATCATGGCGCGCCTGTTTGCCCACGAAGACATCCTGGAGCTGGCCGAGTTTTCTTCCTCGCCCGTGGTCAACGGCCTCACAGACTACAACCACCCGTGCCAGGTGAAGAGGGCCGGGGTGGCAGGGCGGGACGGGAAAGGGGATGCGCAGCAGGCGCTTTGGCAATGGAGTGCGGCACGCCGAGACGGTGCTGTTGCGCTCCCCCGCACCGCTGCTGCCAGCTTGGCTTCCCCTCGTTTGTTTCACCCCCTCGCTCTGCTCCCACACCTCTCTTCTTTCTTTCATCCCCCACTTTTCTTCCCCCGCCAGATCATGGCCGACATCATGACGGTGAAGGAGCACATCGGGCGGTACGAGGATGTCAAGGTGCGGTACTGCTGGATGTACTGCCTGCACCGCCTCCATACCAGCACTGTCTGGACCCGGCCTTCCTGCAGGAAGCTGCTCGTCGGCCTTGCTGCTGGCCTCCTTCCATGCGCCGCCTCGGCAGGCGCCTTGCCAGTGCTGCCCCCTGCTGGCACAGCAGCCCTCCCTGCCTGCACCCGGGCCCACCCCTCCCCATCCCACCCGCCGCCCGCAGGTGGTGTACGTGGGCGACGGCAACAACATCGTGCACAGCTGGCTGCGCCTGGCGGCCCGCCTCAAAATGGAGTTTGTGTGTGCCTGCCCCAAGGGTGCGGGCTGGGGCGGGGCGGGGTGGCGTGTGCTGGCCGGGAGTGGTGGTGGTGTGGAGGTGGATGGTTTGCGGTGCCCTGGCCACCGATGTGGCAAAGGCTGTGGATCCCAGCTCTCCCCAAGGTGCCGCGCTGCCTGCCCCCCAACGATCTGCCCTGCCCTGCCCTGCCTGCCTGCCTGCCTGCCCCGCAGGCTTCGAGCCCGACAAGGCGTCTGTGGCGCTGGCGGAGGCGGCAGGCATCAGCAAGATCAGCATCAGGTGGGTGGGTGTTGGGTGGCGGCGTGCCTGGCTTGCTTGTGTGTGGCTGTCAGCATGTGCGTCCCTCCCTCCCTCCCCTCCCTTTGCCTGGCGCCGAGCCTCACTCCACGTGCCTGCCTCCCTGCCCGCCTGCAGCCACGATCCTTTCGAGGCGGTGAAGGGGGCCGATGTGGTGTACACAGGTGCGCAGGCTGGCAGCCGGGGCCCCGCTGCCGCGCTCGCCGCTCTTGGTGCTGACGTCGGGCCCGTTGCCTTCCCTAGCGGCTGCCTGCTGAGTGACGGCGCCGTGCTGCTGCTGCTGCTGGCGCGCAGACGTGTGGGCCAGCATGGGGCAGAAGGACGAGGCGGACTACCGGCGGCAGCGCTTCCAGGGCTTCCAGGTGTGTGGCCTCTGGCTGGCTGGGAGGGCGGCGGCTGGGGCTGGAGCGCGTGGGCAGCGGCTGGGGTGGTGTGCAGCTGGGCCTTTCTTTCCAGCCTCCAGCGAGATGCATAGCACCACCCCGCCGCCGCCTGCGGCCTCCCCTCCTGGCCCCACGCCGCCCAACCAACACTGCTGCAGGTGAACGAGGACCTGATGAAGGCTGCGGGGCCTCAGGCCCGCTTCATGCACTGCCTGCCCGCCGAGCGCGGCATTGAGTGTACTGAGGGCGTGGTGGAGGGAGGTGAGCCTGGGGAAGTGACGGGGCGTGCTGCCGGCCGCTGCTGCTGCTGCTGCTCCTGCTGCTATGGGGAGGTGGATGGTGTATGGCAGCTGGTGGCGACGCCTGAGCCCAAGAGCCTGCTGCCTTGCGACCACCGTCGCCGTGCCTCCTGGCCTCCCCGCACGCGCCCCGTTCTGCAGCCACCTCAATCATTTTCGACCAGGCCGAGAACCGCATGCATGCCCAGAACGGCATCATGCTGCACGCCATGGGCCTTGCCTGAGGCCCGCACCTGAGTCCGCGGTGGGAGAGCCGCCCTACACCAGCAGAGCAGCCAGGCCGCGTGCGCATTGGCACACGGCGGTGCGGTGCCGGCGTGCAGTGGCCGCTCTCTGCCTTGTTGAGTGTGTTGTTTATGTTGCTGGCGGGCGTCCTGGGGCGCTGGGATGGCCCTGCCCGACCAGTTTTCTGTGCCACCCCCTCGATTGAGAAGCGTGTCACTGCCCCCATCCGCTCCATCCATCTTCCGGTGCTCGGTGATGTAACACGGCAAGCAAACACAGCGAACCACAGCTGGATTGCCTGCGCTGAAGGGTGGCAGGCACATTGGAATAAATGACAAATGAACGTGGCTCTGCAGCCACGCATTCCTGGTTCATCGCCGCTTGAAATAAAGTTTTCTTCCTTCCATTCACAGCACCGCCTCAATGAGCGAGGGCCCGGCCCGCTCCAGTGCCGCCGCCAGCTGCGCCGCCAGCTCCTCGCAGGTTGCGGCCCGGCTGCCGGCCACGCCCATGCCCTGCACCACCACCACCACCAGCATCAGCATCAGCATCAGAAACTCGGCCCGTGCTCTGGGATTATGGGCTGGGGCAACCCAGCGCAGGCTGCTGCAATGCCCAGTGCACAGCGCCGGCAATGCCACGCTCGCCATGCATGCAGCCGCAGCGCTAGGCGGCGCAGCGCCTTGCCTGGGCCAGCGCCACCCAGTCGAGGGCCGGGGAGCCGATGTCGGTGAGCGAGCGAGCCGCCTTGCCGCCGCTGCAGGCGCATGCGGGAGGCGCAGGCATGAGAGGGGCGGGTCCGCCAAGAGACCCTCCCAGCTCCCCACCAGCCTGCCCTTCCCGTGCCAAACTCTGCCCACGTTCACGCCCTGCCGCTGCTCCCCTGCCGCTGCTGCCCCCATCTGCTCACCCCGGCAGCCTCTGCTTGGCCAGCTCAACCCGCAGGATGGAGTAGCCGCGGTTGGCGCAGATGATGGTGACCACGTGCAGCTGCTCCCGCGCCTGCCACAAGCGGGAGCAGCAGTCCGGGCAGCGCCGGTCGGCAGCGAGCAGCGGCAGCGGTAGTGGTGCAGCCCCGGCTCAGCCCGCTGTGTGCTCCACTGCCACTGACCCACCTGCGTCCATAGCCCCTGCAGGCTGTACATGCCGCTGCCGTCGGCCTGCAAGAGGGCGGGGCAGCTGGGCACGCCAGCGCTTGACAGAATGCAGGCCCATCCTGGACACACAGTTCAAGCACCAGGGCTTGCTGCCCTGCCTGCCCGCCTGCCTGCCAGACCATCTATCCAGCAGCCAGCATGGCCTCCCCGCCCGCCCTCCAGCCCATCCCGCCTTGCCTGCAGGTTGATGACCGCTCGGTCAGGGCAGGCCACGGCGGCGCCCACAGCCAGCGGGATGCCTGCCCCGATCGCCCCGCCTGCACCAGCGGCATGGGGGATACTATGTCGGCAATCCGCATGCTGAGAGGTCGTGTTGACAAGGGCTGACGAGGGCCCTTGGCTGCCTTGTCTACACCATGTCCACATGTGGCTGGAGCCCCAGCACAAGGGTGCCGCAGCGGCAGCGCTGAGGGTCAGAGCTCCACACCGCACCACACACGCCACCTGCTCGCACCTGTCAGCGTGAGGTGGCTGAACTGCGGGCAGCCGCGGCTGGCGGCCCAGTAGGCCCCGCCGCTGGTCAGCGACTCGTCAACGACGATCGCGCCGGCGGGCTGCAGGGCCGCCACCGTCTGGCACAGCGCCGCAGCGCTCAGCGGGCCTGCAGGGATGTGGGGCCTTGGGGATGAGCCAGGGGGCAGGTTGTGGCAAAGCATTCGGCCCTGCAGCTGCCGCCGCCACTGCTTCAGGCCCTGTTACCGCCCGCCTGCATGGTACATCTGCGAGGGCAAGCTGCCAGTGGCCGCTCGCCTTTTGGGAGTGGCGGGCGTGCGGCGGAGCAGAAGGCGCCCCGGCAGTTGACCTGGGGTGTGATGCCGCCGCCCCCGACCTCCTCAGCCAGCAGGCGCAGCGCCGCAGGCAGGTTTACAGCCCCGCTGTCAAACTCCCACACCGCCTCGTCCTGCAGTGGTGTGGGGGTAGAGACGCGGCAGAGCGGCGGCACGCTTATCAGGCAGGGGCAGCAGCAAACTATCGAGTTAGCCTTGCCCTGCGACTCGCCGCGCTTGCCGCCTGCCGGCCTGCCAGCCTCCAGCAATCCCAAGCAACCTGCACGCAGGCCGACATCCGGCAGCCCACCCACCGGCAGCGCCACTAGCTGGCTGCTCCCGCCCTCGTATCCAAAGTTGGCCACGGGGCGCCGAGCATCCAGTAGCAGCAGCACTTGGTACTTGCCCAGCTCGGCGGCGGCATCCTGGGGCAGGAGAGGGGGGACAGCAGCAGTGGGGCAGCAGCCGCAGCGGCGAGCAAGTGAGGAGCCGGATCATGGCAGCGTGAGTAGCAGGGCGAGGCAGCGGAGGGTACGCGCATGCCAGCTGCATCGCAGCTCCTGGTACTGGCACGAGGGGGGGCAACATGGGGCAAGCGACAGACCTGCGGGAAGTAAGGCAAGCGCTGCACGTCTGGCAGCCCCTCGCCGCGGTCCAGCCGAGCAAAGAGCGCCTCGCACAGCATCGTGGCGCCAGTGGCCGCCGCGATGTGCCCGCAGCTCAGCAGCGCGCCGCCTGCGAGCAGGGGTAAGCAAGCGGGCCAGCCCTTGGGGAGGAGCAGACGGGAGGGCTGGCAGGGCGAGGTGAGCAGGTATGCACGTCGGCAGGCAGAGGCACAGACACGGTTTGCTGGATGGGCTGCGGAGTATCCTTCGAAGCACAAGCAGCAGCCTGCCCACCTTCTGCCAGCGCTGCACGGCCGCCGATGTACAGCGCAGCCTTGCCGGCGGGGCAGGCGCGCAGCGCAGCTGCGGCCTCGCGCACAAAACACTGCGCCCCTGGAGGCAGCTGCTGCTCGCTGAGATGGAGGGCAGATACCTCGTTTGCCGCTGCCGCTGCCTGGGAGCTGCCGCTGCCATCAATGCACGTGCCTGCACCATAGCCAGGCGCTGTCCCCTCCCGCTCCCAGGCAAGATCATGCGGCACAATGAGGGTTGCCACCCGGCTGCTGCCCGCGCCGGCGCTGGCACCCTCGGTAGTGGCCGCCACCGCCGCCGCCATGGCGGCCCCGAGGTCCTCACCCCGCCGGCAGGTGTGGGTGTGGCGCCCGACGCTGGCTGCCAGCGCAGGGATGTCGGAATCCAGCAGCGCATCGGCGGCCTTGTGCCAGGTGGCCATGTCTCCTGCCGGTGCGGGGAGAAGCCAGTGAGAGTCAGGTGCAGGTGCAGGGCTGGAGGGTGGGATGGCAGGAGCCGTGCATCGGCAGGCACGCAACCTTGGCGGCCAATCGACCGCTGCTGCGCCTCTCACTGCCAGCCCAGGCCACTGGCATCTCACCCACGAGGTTCACCAGCGGCGTGCCGGCCCGCTTGGCGTTGTGAAGGTTGGTTAGCGCATTGGCCAGGCCGGGCCCCAGGTGCAGCAGGGTGAGCGCCGGCTTGCGCGCCATGCGGCCGTACCCGTCGGCAGCACCGGAGCACACGGTTTCGTGCAGGCCCAGCACGGGGCGCAGGCTGCCGCCTCGGCTGCTGCTGCCACTGTTCAGGGAGTCGATGGCCGCCACAAAGTGCATCTCAGAAGTGCCTGCGGTGGGCGGCACAACACCGGGGCATGGCGGGACCAAAGCAAGGCGTGACCAGGCGCTGCAAGGTCAATGTGTGTCAACGGTGCCTTTTCGACCGCAGCGCACCTGGGTTGGCGAAGCAGACCTCGATCCCCGCGTCCAGTGCGGCATGAAGGAGCTGCTCGGCGCCATTCAGGCCCTTGGCGGCCGCGGGATGGGCGGCACTGGTCATGGGCCTGTCGGCGCGCCGTGAGCAACGTCCGATCAGCTTTTTGACGCCGTTCAATGGGTCCCCGCGAGGCCCTCTTTCCCTCTCTCGAGAGCAGTGTTCCGGAAACACAGGGATGATCCCCGGGTCCCTGACATTCACCCGGAGATTGACTCAGCCCAAACGGGAAACTCTGAAAAGATTGCCGGAAGAGCCCGGGATTCTGAGGCCCAATCCGGGGAACAAAATGCCACCCAAAACCATTAGCTGTTTTGGCTTTCTGGACGCTCAGACAGCATTGTGAGCGACTTGGGAGCGCTCAGCTGGGGGCGCTGCAAGGCAGCTGGCCCTCAAACGGGCTTGGTTGACAGCACAGCAACTGCTGGCACCCAAGCTGTGCCCCGGGGATCCCCTGTCCAATATCCGGGTTCTCCCGGGGATCCAAAGCATAACAGGGCCGTGTCCCGGGGATCCCAAAAAGCCCAGCCGGAACAGTGATCTCGAGAGAGCGTCAATGTCAGCCCAGAGACAGTCTGGGCTGCGCTGATCGATGTGATGATGATTTGTTTCGATGGCGGACCGTCGGGCCGCCTCTGGTGGTTCTGGTTCAAGGGCAAAGGTACAGCCAATGTACCGGCAGCCGGCCCGAAAACGAAACTCGCGCCCCCTTGTGGCGCTGTCGGAGCTTCCCATCCCAACCCAACGAGGGTCAGCGTTGCCAGCACCCCGCAGCCGCCAGCAGAGCCCGACAGCTGGGCGCCTTTTCAGCGCGCGGCCCTTCACTGCGAGCCAGGGCCTGGTGCCGCTGCAACAGACATATATTGTTTCTCAGGGCTGCGCGCGAAGCGGGTGTGTGGGTCGTCAGCTGTCGCCTTGAGGCGCCAGTGCCAGCGACGGCGGCGCCCAAGCGGCGTGCTTTGCAGCAGGTGGTGCCCTCGTCAGTAGCTGGCCCGCGTGCGCCATGGGCAAATACCAAGACGACTTCAAGAAGGGGGCCTGGACGCCAGAGGTGGGCGAAATGTCGGTCGGGGCAGGTGCCACTCACGGCGGAAGCCAGGCGCTCCTCGCTTTTGTATCCGCTTGAACATTTCTCTCCTGCCTGCCCGCATCAGGAGGATGACCTGCTGCGGCAGCTCATAAAAGAGTACGGCCCCAAGAACTGGTCCATCATCGCCAACGGCATCAAGGGGCGCTCCGGCAAGAGCTGCCGCCTGAGGTGCGACGCAGGGGTGGAGCCGCCGTACTCGCACTTACCTGCCGCCGCCAGTGTTGCCTCTGCTCCGTCACGCTGCTGGCCATGCAGGCGGCCTAGCACTGAAGATGGCGGGCCTTGCCTGACCAGGTGCTGCATTCTGTCCCGCCTCCTGCCTCTCTGCCCTCGGCCTGCAGGTGGTGCAACCAGCTCAACCCAGAGGTGAAGAAGGACCCATTCAGCCAGTGGGAAGATGCTGTCATCATCATGGCGCACCAGAAGCACGGCAACGCGTGGGCCCGTGAGTGGGCGGGCGCTGAGGGAGCACCGGTCGCAGTGTGTTCAGCTCCAGTGTGTTCAGCTTCGCACCCAGCACCAGCACGCCATCACCTGGTCTCGCTGGCTGCCCATGCTGCCATGCCTGCCGCCGCGCCCGCCGCCCGCCGCAGGCATCTCCAAGCTGCTGGTGGGCCGCACTGACAACGCTGTGAAAAACCACTGGAACAGCACCCTCAAGCGCAAGTACCAGGGTGGGTGAACAACTGAAGAGCACAGGGCATGGCAGGGAGGTGGGGGCGGGGCATCGCACCGCTCATTGCTCGCCGCTGGTCCTGCTGGCGCCGCCGCCGCCTCTCCGGCAACACAGCGCAAGTTTCAGCCTGGCTTGCCTCCGGTGCCTGCCCTGCCTCTCCTTGCCCCGTGCAGCCGGCCAGCTGCACAACCGGTACCTGGCCAAGGAGAAGGATGCTTCTGGGACTGTACGCCAGAAGTACAGCCTGGACTGGCTGCTTGCGCACCCGCCCGAGGAGGACGACCCATACAGCCCGCAGGCGGGGGTAAGCGGTACCGGGCAGCGGCTGCGCCTTGCCGGCTCTCCTTTGCCGGCTTGCTGCTGCAGGCTGTCGCAGGGGCAGGGTGTGGAGGAAGGGCACAGCCTCCCTGGCCTGACAGCCTCTGCATCTGTGAGCCACAGGCTGACATGAACGGTCGATGGGCCCCTCGCTTGTGTGCAGCGCGGCACCAAGCGGCACTCCGTCGCAGCTGTGTCGGCCCACGCGTATGCGGGCGCTGCCGCCGTGGCGCGCACAGCCACCGGACAGTTTGCCCCCGCCATCAACGCCAGCAAGCGGCGGCGCACAGACGGCAGCGGCGGCAGCGGCGGCAGCGGCGGTGCGGCAGACTCAGAGTACCCGGGGCTGCCGGCGGGCATGAAGCGGCCCTCGCTGCAGGTGGGCAGCAGCAGTGGGGCGGTGGCGGGCCTGGGCTGGGGTCGACGCCAAGAGCCTTGCAGCGGTGCATGCATGCTGCCCACCACCTCCAGTCTGGCGCCTTGCCACCCTGCGCCGCACAGCAGCCCATCCCATGCCTTCTCCTCTCCCGGGTGGGCCGGCCCGGCGCCCAACCCTCTCCTCCTTGGGTGACTCTCGCCTGCCGCCTCTCACCCCTCGCACCCGCTCCCCTCCCGCCCCCAGGAAAGCATCGACATGCTGAACTCTGTGCCGGAGAGCATGCGGGCGTGCCTGATTGAGGCAGCCAAGCTGGCGGGCCCCGCCTTCAAGCGCAAGGCAGCCGACGGCGGCGCCGCGGCAGGCGCAGGCACAGGCTCGGGCCCCGGACCGCTCACTTTCAACATCAGTGTGGACGCGCGGCGGGCGCCTCCGGCGCCGGCGTCTGCTATGGCGGCGTTTGCGGCGGCGGCGGCGGCCGGGGGCGGCGCTGGCGGCGGCGGGGCGGGGTCGCTAGCCCATGCGGAGAGCGACCCGCTGATTGCGGGGCTCATGGCTGGCACGCTGGGATCGGACCCCATGCTGGGCCCGCTGCCCTCGCTGCCGGCGGCGGTACCGGGCGGCGCCCCGCCGCTGCCGCTGCCCGCCGCGCAGCCAGCGGCGGCGGGCGGCGCGGCGGATGGCGGGGAGCAGGGGGGCGGCGCCGGCGGGGACCAGCAGCTGCTGGAGCTGATCAGGTGGGTGGGTGGGGCTCCGGAGGATGTCGGTCCGCTGTTCACCCTGGCTGGCAGCGGGATGAGAACCGCCGCTGTTGATCCCTCCATGCACTCCAACCTCATCCTGCCCACTGCCCTCTGCCCTCTTGCCCCTGCCCCATGCAGCCGCATCGACAGCGGCATGGTGCAGCAGGGCACCAAGTCGGCGCTGAAGGCCACGGTGCTGGGCGGCGGCGGCGGCGGCGGCGCACCAGACGGCGGCGCCAACGGCGCCCCGCCCTCGGCCGGCGACCTGCCGCTGCTGCTGCCGCTGCCGCTGCCCGCGCCGCCCACGGTGTCGCCGGCGGGGGCGGTGGCGGCGGCGGCCACCGGGCCTCTGCGCCTCGCCTCCCTCAACATCGCCGCCCCCTCGCCAACAGACCTCAAGGCAAGTGCCTGCCCCTGTGCGGCGGGTGACGACGCTTGCCGTCATCATCACTCAATGCCACCCAAAGCATTTCGTTGGTTGCGCGGCTGCGGCTGGTCTGCCGCTGGCCTGATGCTTGTGGCCCCCGTTCCCACACCGCGTGACGCCCCTCTGCAGGGCATGTTTGGCGGCACCACCCCGCTCAGCAGCAACTCGCTCAACGCAATCCTGGATGACCTCGGCAAGTGAGTGTGGTGGCATGGTGGCGCGTGAGTGTGTTGCAGAGAGAGGGAGCAGGCGGGGGTGGTGCTTTACACACTCACTTGGTTTTGGGTCAGAGGGAGTCAGTCATAGGTTACGGCGGGTAGAGCGGTCGATGCTGAGCCATAGCTGATATTGCCTGCGCCTGCTCCCTGCAGGGGCAGCAGCCTGCTCAAGGGGCTGTCGGCGGAGGGCCTGGGGTCGCTGCCGCCGATGGAAGGCGGCGAGGCGCAGGCGGCGGCGGCGGGCGCTTCGGCGCACCTTGCCCCCATGCCCCTGCGGCTGCCGTGACTCGGCAGAGGCTGGATGGCCAGCTCCAGTAGCTGTCAGATGTGCGTGGTGGTGTGGGCACAGCGCTGCTTCCCTGCCCTGTTTTTGTTAGAGAGACTCGCCTGTCGGCGGCATGCAGGGGGGGGCTCACCGACGCTCATCTCCCTGCGCCCAGATTGGGGCAGAGAGGCCTGTAAAACTGCTATTGCGTGTAATACATCACACAAGCACTCCATACCAGGGTCAACAACGAGCTGGTTTGCACTATCCTGATTCCTGCAATACGGGCGCTAGGGCTGTGGGCGAGCGGGCGGCGGCGACGCCGGTGCCGCCAACTGCTTAGCCCCAGCAGGGGTGCCCATCCCCTCGTTGGTGTCGCGTTCACATCGTTCGCTCCTTTATACGCTCCTGACACCGTTTGCCCCTCGCCCGGCACCACGAAGTGAGCCCCATTGTACCCCTCACCTTCTTCCCGCGCTTCCAGCAACGAGGATCGCCCCTCCCCGTTCCCCATCGCATTCGGTGGTTCACGGAACAGTGCTTGGAGACGGAAGGGAGGCGAAACAGCCCAGCCGACCGAGTGTTTTGAGGGCCGACCAGCGGGTGAGCCTGTCCCGCCCTGGCCATGCATTATCCCGCGTCTGACATGCCGCTGCAACCAGGGCTGACCACAGAGGGGCAGCAGGCCGACATGCGGTGGCATGGCAACTCGGCAATGAGCCCCAGGGGTGGGGATCTCTTGCAATCGCTTCCCCACGCGCCTCCTGAAGCTGATCCGCTTGCTTGCAGAGCCCGCAGCACCCTGCCAACGCGTTTCGGGAGCTGCCCGACTGGAGCTGGGCTACCAGATGGGCTTGTTTTCGAAGCTCAAGGGCAAGGCAAGCCATCGGCAATTGACAGGGCTGGACGGGATAGGCGCTGTGGGCCGACCTGGCCCTGGCCTCTGCAGCGGCCGGCATGCGCGGCGGCGGAGCCGCCGCCATCTGCACGACTGATGCTACTTGGCCGAGGCAGCTGAACTGACCTCCCGCACGTCCATCCCTGCTTTGCTGCAGAAGAAGGAGGCGGCGCCGGCGGCGCCTGTCCCGGTGCCGTCCGCCTCGTCCGCCGCCGAGCGTGCCGCACAATACCTGCCCGCCAGCGCCGGCCTGCTGTCTGGCAGCTACAAGCCAGCCAGCGCGTCCGTCCTGTCGGCAAGCCATGCGACCGGCGGCGGCAACATAGCGATCAGCGTGCCCACGCCTGGCAAGGGCGGGTCGCCGATTGCGGCCCGGCACGCGGCCGACGGCGGCATGCCCGCAGGCAAGCGGCCTGCCGGGCTTCTGCTGGAGGTCTCTGCCGCTGCACAGGAGGCTGCACAGGAGGCTGCACAGGGCAGCAGCGCGGCAGGCGAGGAGCTGGGGCAGCAACCGTCAGCAGAGGACCGGCCGCCCACCCCGGACCCCGCCTCGCCCCTGGCCGCCGCCACGCCATCCAGCGGCGAGGCGGGCGACGGCGCGGTGGAGAGCAGCAGCGGCAGCTGCGCCACCCTGGGTGACGCCGCCTCCGAGCGCGGCACCTCGGCGGCCGCAGCGCTCGACCGCCTGCGCCGCGCCTCCCCGGCCGGCAGCCTGGCCAGCGAGGCGAGCGTGGCCGCCAGCGGCGTGGAGTGGGCGGCGGCCGCGGCGGCCGCGGTGGGGCAGCGCGGCCAGCAGCTGAGCGCGCGGCGCCAGATCCGGCAGGCCATGGGGCCCGAGGTGGAAGGTGAGGCGCCGCCGCAGCAGAGGTCTTGCCAGCTAATGCCGTCGCCTGCCTGCCTGCCTGGCTTGACCTTACGTGGGAGCGGCAGGGGCTGGTGGTGCGGCAGTGTAGCCCCAAGGGCGGCCCGCCCTGTGCCTCCCGCCTGCCTGCCTGCCTGCCTGTGCTGCTCGCTGGTCTGCTTTGGCTGAGATGCCACCCGCCCGCCTCCTCCCCTGCTCGCAGCCCGCCTGCGCGAGGTGTTTCTCGAGTACGCTTCCCTGGGTGCCACCGGCAGGCAGAGGTGGGCTGCCCCGGCGCCTACCTGCATCCGCTGGACCGCCACCGCGCTTGATGCGTGCCCCTGCTCCTGCTCTTCTAGCTGCGCCTCCCTCAAAAAACCGCTGCACACCGCTGACGTCCTGACCCCCTACCTTCCCTTGCCTCCCTCCCTGCCCTCCCCTGCCCTCCCCTTAGGCTGGAGGAGCTGGACTCGGCCCGCTTCTACAAGCTGTGCCGCGAGTGCGGCCTGCTGTGCCGCCGCTTCACGCGCGGCTATGCCGACGTCGCATTCACCATCGCCAATTCCCGCAAGGAGATGCGCAGGTGGGCCAGCAGAGGGGGTGTGGAGTTCTGTGATCTGTGTTTGTCTGTGTGTGTGTGTGTGTGTGTGTGTTTTGTGGTGGTGGTCGGCGTGTTGGAGTTGTTGTTGGTGGTGTCTTGGTGGCGGCGGGCTGCTCCAGCGCGGACCTCGCCTCCCCTGCCCGCCTCCTTCCCGCCCGCAGGCTGACCTTTGACGAGTTCTGCACCGCGCTGCGCCTGGCCGCCTTCCGCAAGCAGTGCACGCTGCAGCAGGCGAGGCCCACCGCCGCCTGCCTGCCCCCTACCCGCTGCGAGGGAGCTGCCCTGTGGGGCCCTGTGCCGGCCCCTGCTGGGCGCGCCTGCGCGGCGCATGCGCCGCCTCGCGCCCGCCTGCCAGCCCCCACACCCTCCCCTCCGCCCCTGCAGCTCCCCTCAAATCACCTGAGCGTGTCACACTTCTTCTTCTTCTTCTCCCACCCCCTGCCCCGACTGTCTGCAGGTGGCCACTCTAGTGGCAGGCAGCGGGGGCCCCGTGCTGAGCCGGGTGACCACTCCAGAGGCGGTACGGCTGTACGACGACCTTTCCACCTGGACTGGTGAGCCCATGCCCCCCATGGGGGGAAAACTGCTGGGCGAGGGGCTGCAGGGAGAGAGGCTTGGGGCACACATGTGCAAGTACAGGAGGGGAACAGTCGGCACCACCACACCACACACTATTACACACACGCTTTCATGTTAATCACGCGTCCTGCCCCTCACTGCTGCTGCCTCCGCAGGCGTTCAGTTCCAAGTGGCGGCGGAGGCGGCCTTTGCGCCCGCCGCTGGCACCCCGGGCGGCCCGCCGGCGCGCGGCGGCGGCAGCGGCGGCGCCAGCCTGGGCGCCAGCGGCGCGGCCACGCCCAACGCCGCGCGCTGCGGCAGCCTGGCTGAGCTGGCGCTGCGTCAGCAGCAGGTGCAGCACGGCTTCCTCGACCCCGAGCGTGCCGCCGCCGAGGCCGCCGCCGCAGACAGGCGGCGGCGCGAGGCGGAGGCCGCCATTCGGCGGGCCGAGGGCGAGGCGCGAGCGGCGGTGGAGCGCGCCGCTGCGGCCGACGAGGCCGCTCGGGCCAAGGTGCAGGAGGCGGTGGCGGCTGCGGCGGCCGCCGAGGCCGCCATTTCCGACAACTCTGCCGCGGCGGAGCGGGCCAAGCGGGAGGCGGCGGCCCTTCACGAGGCGGCCGCCGCGCAGCAGGAGGCGGCGCGGGCCGCGGAGCGCGACGCGGCCGCCGCCCTGCGCCGCGCCGCGGCGGCGGAGACGGCGGGGGAGGCCGAGGCGCAGGCCGCGCTGGCGGTGGCTGCGGAGAAGGAGCGGAGGGCCAAGGACGCCGCCACCAGCGCCTGGGCGGCGGCTACGGCGGCGTCCGAGGCAGCCGAGGCGGCGGCGGCGGGGGCCGCGGAGGCGGCCGAGGCCGAGGGCTGGAGCCAGGAGGGCGCCGACAGCGTGGCTGCGGCGCAGGAGGAGGCCGAGGCTGCGGCGATGGCCGCCATTCTGGCGGCACGGCAGGACGCCGAAGCCGCCATGATCGACGCTCTCATGCAAGCAGAGGCGGCCGAGGCGGCGGTGGAGGCCGCGCGGGCCGAGGCGGCGGCCGCCGAGGAGGCCGTGCAGGCGGCCAAGGCCGAGGCGGCGGCGCTGCTGGCGGCGGCGGCGGCTGCCGAGGCGGCGGCAGAGACGAACGAAGCGGCCAAGGCGGCGGCACAGGCGCGCGCGGCCGCCGCCAAGGACGCAGCCGCCGCCGCGGCGGTGGCGCGCCGCAAGGCCGCCGCCCGCGCCAAGCTGGACGCCGACCGAGCGGCTTCGGCGGCGGCGGAGCGGCGCGCGGCGGCGGCCGCGGCGGCGCAGCAGGCCGCCGACGCCGCCGTGCGGGCGCAGGCCGCCGTAAACTCCCGCATCCGGGCGCAGCAGAAGCTTGCTGAGGCGCTGGCGAGGGCTCGCGCCACGGGCCTGGCGGCGGCGGCCAGTGCCGCGCTGGCGCAGCCCTCCACGCCCGAGCAGCGGCGGCCTCGGCCCGCGGCGGCGGTGGTGTCGCCCGAGGCGGCGGCGGCGGCGGCGGCGGCGGCGCTGGACGCCGCCCGCCAGCGCTTTGGCGACAGCGCCGACGTCACGGCCGCCGACCTGAAGCGCGTGTGGCGCGAGTTTGCGGCGTTTGGCAAGAAGGCGGCGGCGGACGGTGGGTGGCCGCCGCCAGGGAGCCCGCTGCGGCTCAGAAATAGAACAGGCTGCAGCCGCCTTGCTTCCCGGCGCTCCCTGGCCCAGGCACCTGCTGCTGCTGCTGTCTGGGACACCCCTCTGCTGCTGCTGGCTCTCCCCTCGCCTGCCGAGCTGTCCACTCCTGCCGCCCACCCCCTCTGCCTGCCTCCCTTCCCTGTCTGGCCCCCCTGCGCACGCAGCCAAGGATCTGCGCATGGAGGGCGCCCTGTTTGCCAAGCTGTGCAAGGAGTGCTGCCTGGTGGACGGCGGCGGGCTGACCCTGGCGCAAGTGGACCTCACCTTTGGGAGGGTGGCTGACAAGGTACATTAGAATTACAAGATACATTTTTCTTTAGAGCGGGCTGCCCGCCTTGCCTGGCTGGGGCTGTAGACATGGGCGTGGGCGTGGGGTTTGGGTTTAGGGGGTTTAGGGTTTAGGGTTTAGGGTGGGGTGGTGGCAGGCTTGGCCGACCGGCTGGCTGGCTGGCTGGTGACGGGAGGTTGCTGGCTGGCACGCCGCCTCCGCCCACCCCCTCCAAGCACGCTGGCGTGCCTCCCTGTGCGTGCCGCGGTGGCTGGGCGGTGATCCAGAGCAGCCAGAGCAGCGGGAGGTGCCGAACCGACAGGCCTGCTGGCCGGCCGCCGCCTGCCTGTCCCTCGCCCGCCTGCAGAGCCGCTCCATCTCTTTCAAGCAATTCCAAGAGGCGCTGCCGCTGCTGGCCACCGCCCGCGGCTGCGACGTGCAGGAGGTGAGCTGGGTGGGGAAGAGGCCTGCAAAAGTGGGGCGCTGCTGGAAGGCCTGCAGAGATGTGGAAAAGAGGTCTACAGGCATGTGGTGCTGCTGAGAGCAAAAAGCAGCTGTGGCAAGGCTGCTGCCTGCATGCGTGCCAGCTAAGAAGAGGCTGCCTAGGTGCGGGCGTGCACTGATGAGCCATGCCCAATTCTTCTGCATCGACCGAAGCGTCTTCTCCCCGCCGCGCTGCGTGCAGATCAAGCTGCTGGTGGCGGCGGCGGAGGGCCCTGTGCGGCGCGGCACCACGCCGCTGGCGGTCCGCTTCCACGACCGCTGGGGCAAGCCGCCGCAGGCCTGACACCAGGGCATGCTTCCCCAATCGTCCCCATTCCTACTTCCTCTTTGTTGGCATGCACACTCCTCGGTTGGGGGCCCAAGCCTCCCCAGTTTTCCTTCTCTTGTGTCTTGCTGTGTCTCATTTTTGGCGCCTTGTGCTCATGCGATCCGGCGGTTCATTCATTCCAACCATGTCACCATACATGTGACCTCAACAAATGCATCGAACGAGGCTCTTTGTAAATGCTACAATGCGGAGCCGAGACTGAGAGGCTTTCTAACGTGTGTGTGTGTGGGTGGGTGTATGTGTGTGGGTGTGGATGAGTCACCAGTTGTTGGTCAGAGTTGGTGGCGGTGCTGGTCGCTGGATGGAAGAGCTATGTCGAAGCAAGGAAGGAAAGGAATACACAACCGCAGGAAGCAGTCCATCGGAAACTAGGCCTGCACGCCACCTGCCTGGGCCCCGGGCCCTAGCGCGGCCGAGCGTGCTGCAGCACCTGCAGAGCCACCGCCCCCACCAGCCCAGCCAGCCCGGCGGTGCGCACAACGGCCTCCAGCACCTTGCGGCCGCCGCCGCTGCCACCCTGCCCATTCCGCCTGGCCTCGCCATCTCTGTTGCGCCCTCGCCGCCGCTGCTGGGGCTGCAGGCGGCTCTTGGCCTTGCTGGATGCAGCGGTGGGAGGGCTGATGCCAGGGGTCAACTGCACCGGCAGTCATGGAGCAGCAATCATGTCGATGCTGATGCGATGTGCCACCAGGCATGCTGCTGCCTGCTGCCACCCTGCACCACCATCACAAGGAACCAAGCTACACACGTCGTTGGCAGGCAGGTGGTCAGCAGCAGCAGCCAAAGGCAGGCGGCAGCCTTGCCTGCACGGGGTGGGAGGACATGGCGCCGGCCGCCTCGGATTCGCCCTCCTCCTGGCCGCCCCGCGCGGCCGGCGTGCCGGCTCCATAGTCGGCAGCGATCAGCGCCCCGGCGCTGCTGTGGCTTTGCACCGGCGACAGCAGCGGCAGCTTGGCGCCGGCGCCGGGCGCCACCCTGGCCTCCTCGGCAGGCTCCGCCGGCGCGGCCGCGGGGCTATTGCCTCCAGAGTCCTGGCCTGCAGGGGAGCCGCCCTCCTGGGCACGCTGCTGCTGCTGCTGCTGCTGCTGCAGGCGCTGCAGCTCCAGCAGGACCCCCTGGATTCGGCGGCACAGCCTGCTGCTGCTGGCGGCGCGGGCCGAGGGCGGCGCCGAACCGCCGTCGCCCTCCGCCTGCTGCGCCTGCTGCGTCTGCTGCAGCCACTGCACGGCGCAGGCCACATCGGGCGCCACATCCTCGCTGCTTCCCTCGGCGGAGGCTGGGCGCTTGGGGCTGGCCGCCGGGGTGCCAAACACGCTGCTGGCGCTGCTGCCGGCGCCGCCCAGGAAGGAAGCCAGCAGCAGCTCGGCATCCGTCACGTCGCTCTGCAGGCGGTGCAGCTGGCGCTGCGAGGAGTCACGCTCGGCAGCCACCGCCGCCAGCTGCTGCTGCAGCCCCGCCCGGCTCTCCTCCAGCTGCCGCTGCAGCGCCGCCTGCCGCTCCTCCGCCTGCCCCAGCTGCCGCCGGAGCGCCTCCAGCTGGCCCTCGGCCTCCTGCAGCTGCTGCAGGGCGGCCTGCTGCTCCGTGGCGGCGCTGCGCACCGCAGCCAGCTCCTCGGCTGCCTGCCGCCCCAGCTCGGCTGCCTGCTCCCGCACGGCGGCCTCATTCTCCTGTGCAGTCTGCTGGTGCGCCGCCATCTGCTCCTCTGCAGCCTGCATGGCCGCGGCAGCCGCCGCCAGCTGCTCAGCAAACTCGGCTCGGTCCTCTGCCGCAGCCCGCAGCTTGCCTTCCAGCTCTGCCCTGGCAGCTGCCGCCTCCTCCAGCTGCTGCCGCAGCGCCGCCTGCACCTCCTCCGCCTCCTGCCGCACAGCGGCAGCCAGCTCCGCTGCCTCCTGCACCGCGGCCCGCTGCAGCCGCTCTGTCTCGGCGGCCGCCTCGGCCTGCTGCTGCTCCAGCTGCACAGCGGCCTCCCACTGCGCTTGGGCCGCCTGCTGCGCCGCCTCTTCCTGCTGCCGCTCAAGCTGCGCCTGCGCCGCCCTCAACTCATCACGCACGGCAAACACCTGCAGGCGTGGGGAGCGGACACAACATCTACCAATGGTAAACAGGGGAAGCGGTGTGCTAGCTGCTGTTCATTTCACATGGCAAAAGCAGCTGCGCAAGCAGGGCAGGGGCAGGAGCATGGGCAGCAGCAGGCGCGGACCTCGCTGCTGGAGGCGTCTGCCCGGCGCTGCACCTCGAGCAGCTCGCCCCGCAGGTCCGGCAGCTGCACACAGGGAGGCAGGAGCAGCAGCGTGCAGCACATAGTCGGGCCGCATGGTGCAGGCATGCCGTAGCAAAGGCCAGCGGCGGCCGGCTGCAGAGCACCTTAACCGCTATGACGGAGCCAGGCTGAAGCTGGCGGGAGCAAACAACACGGGGCAGGGCAGTGGGGCCCAGCCCACCTGCAGGCGCAGCTGCGCCACCTCTGCGTCCCGCTGCTGCAGCTGCTGCCGGAGGGCCTGCGCCTCCGCTGCGGCGCCGCTGCGCTCAAACTGGGCTGCTGCCAGCTCGCCGCGAGCCACCTCCACCTCTGCCTCCGCCTGCTGCCAGCGCTGCTGCAGGGCCGCCGCCTCGGCCTGCAGCTGAGCCACCTCCTCAGACCCAGGCCCGCCCGCGGCGGCGGCGGCGGCCGCGGTGGCGGTGGCGGCGGCCTGCTCCGCGGCCGCGAGCTGCTTGCGCAACTGGCGCAGCGCCTGCTGCTGCTCTTCCAGCTTCTCCCTGCGGGGGTGCGCGTGCAGCCAGGAGGCCTGTCAGCCAGCCAGAACAAACACCTGTCCACACGGCCAAACACAGCAGTACTTCTGTTGGCTGCTCTGAACCCTTCAACTCCTGCACATGTTGACCCGTGCAGCACAGCGGTGCCGCTGCGCCCTGCACATGCCCTGCATCTCACACCTGAGCACCTCCAGGTGCGCATCCTTCTGTGTCAGCTCGTCTTGGGTGATGGCCAGCTGCCCCTCCAGGCTGCACACCTGCGGCAAGGGCAGGGAGGCGGGGGGACACATTCGTGCACACATTATACTTCATTGCTTCACACAGCCTTGAAGAAAGCAGACATCTGAGCCGTGGAATGTGGCTGGGCTACATTGCATGAGAAGCAGCAGGGGAGATCGTGGCGAGGGTGGCGGCGGCGAGGCGACTCGCCTGGCGACGAAGATCCTCCTCCCGCTTGTGGGCAGCCTGCGGGCAAGCAAGGACTGTTCAGTGCACGCAGCAGGGCCAGGCACGCAGCAGGGCCAGGCACGCAGCAGGCTCGGGCATGCAGCGCAGCCACCCCATCCCAGCAAGGAGGCCGGCAGACGCACAGGCGACAAGCAACCATCATGGCAAGGCAAGGCAGGTGGCGTGGCGATGCGTGGCAGCAGCAGACGTGCCTGCAGCAGCGTCAGCGTGCGCATCAGCTCCTCCTGCTGGCTGGCACTGTCCTCGCGCAGCAGCGACAGCTCGCTGCAGGGCAGGACGAGGTGTGTGTGCAAAGACAGGCGACAGATCAGTGGGCATGGGATGGTGCGCCCCGGCGAGCCAGATGCAGCAACCACGGCGGCAAGCTGTGCGCTGGCGAAGAGCTGGGCCAGCCACGGCAGCTCACCCGTCCTGCTTCCGCAGCATTGCCTGCAGCAGCGCGGCGTCTGTGTGGCGCTTGGCGGGGCTGGGCCCCGCGCTGGAGCTGCCGCCGGCGCCCTCCAGGGCGGCGCTGTGGGCTGCGCGCAGCTGCGCGCCCAGTGCCTCGTTCTGCGCCTGCAGCCGGTCTGCCATCGCCTGCAGCTCGGTGTTGGCGGCCTGGAGCGCCAGCACCTCCCTGCGCGCCGTGCCTGCAGCCAGGGTCACGCAAGCATGTCTGCAGGTGTACGATGCAGGTACGCTGCAGGGAGCGGGGCCCGTGACTGCAAACCGGTGGGACCTGCGGAAAAGACTGCTTGTGCCGACCGGTAGAACGATGCTTTCCTGGCGCCCACCTGCGGCCTCCTTCAGCAGCGACTGGCGCTGCTTGTAGTCGGCCTTGGCGGCCTCCAGCTCCTGCGACTGCTGCCGCAGCTGCGCCTGCGCCAGCACCAGCTGCTGCCGCATCGCGGCCAGCTCGGCGGCGCTCAGGGCGTTTGAGGCATCGCCGCCGTCGGCGGTGGCGGCGGCCAGGGCCGCAGCCTGCGCTGCCTGCAGCGCCGCCAGCTGCCGCTGCAGCTCCTTGGTCTGCACCTCCTGCTTGACGATGATGTCTCCCAGCTTGTGCGCCTTGTCCTGCTCGGGTGGTAGAGGCGCGGGCGGGAGGCGGCGGGCGTCGGCTCAGGTGCATGCTGCACCCTGGCGCGGCGGCACCTCGATCGGGCGATTCCACGCTCTCTGCACCCTCCCGCTGTTATTGCAGCGGCCAATGATCACATGGGCCTGCGCTCCCACCTTCCACTGCAGGGCCTTCTCGGCCTGTCTCTCCAGCTGCGCATCGTCCTCGGACGAGGCCTGCGCCAGAGAGGCCAGCAGCGGGCTGCCAGCCAGCGGGCTGCCGCTGGGCAGCCCATGCCTGTTTTGAACTGTTCTCAACATGGTGGCGCGCTGTCCCCGCAGCACTCAACTGGGGCCGATCAAAGCGCTTTAGGCGGCCGACTGGGCGGACAAGGGGCGGCATGAGTTGTGCCAACCTGGCCGCCGCTGAGCTGTCGGGGGTGGCTGTCGGTGCCTGCCCGGCATCCGGCTGATCACTAAATCCAAATAATGAGCATATTCATCGGGTGATTTGAGTTCTTAAACCTGTACATCCTTTTCTCTGGCAAACCCAATGCCAACGTGCCAGCGCTGCTCAACGCCGCTTGCCGCAGGCACCAGTAGACTACCCCACTTTGTGGGCCCTGCTCTCTGCTGCGCTCAAAAAGCCTGAAGGATATTGAAGTATACGATTGGTGAACGTGTTTACACGCTGTTACGGAATGGGATAGTGGAGAAACGGGTAAATATCCATATGATGGAGAGCAAGTAGAGAGGGAGCAAGGGAAGCATTCGCGATGCCTGGCAGCAATGACGCCTCAGGCAGCAATGACGCCTCTCAGAACAAGGCAGGCCGCATGGCGTGCTGCGCGGCAGCCAGGGCCGGCAGCAGCGCCATTTCCACCGCTTCTGCCAGCATGGCGACTGCCTCGCCTGCCGTCGCCGGCTCGCCTGCCTGCCTACTGCCGCCCACGGCCGCTCCCGTGCTCTGGCGCAGGCGGTAGCTGGGCCGCCGCTGGCGCTGCTTGCGACTGTAGGTGCGCGTGGTCTTTGCCCACGCCTTCTTCACCACGTTGTGGCACACCTGCGGCAGAGAGGTGCAGCCGGGAAGGACACGGCGGCAGGGGTGGGTGGGGGCAACTGAGGTGGGGCCTGGCCTGACTCCAGCAGGCCACCCAGGGGCAGCTCAGCCAGGGTACGTTGGCTCACATGCAGTACACTAGGCAGTACACCAGGCGGTACACCCAGCAGTACATGCGGTACGCACCTTGAGCTCCTCTGTGTAGTCAGGGTGGTCCATGGGTGTGTACCCGCCTCGGCACAGCTCGGGGAAGGACCGCCAGAAGGACTTGTAGCCGCCCTGCAGGCAGGAACAGGAGGCGGAGCCAGGCACAGGGGAGGCAGGCAGGCACAGTTCGGCACGATCCAACATCGGGTATGCGTGGGCAAAGGCGGCAGTGCATCGGTGCGGGCGCGTGGAGGCCAAACTGCCAACTGGCTGCAGTGCAGCCACAAGCAGGCTGCTGCTGGGCGGCAGGTATGGGCGGCCGGGCCCACCTGCAGCACAAAGACGTGCGGGTGGGAGAGGGCAGGGTAGTCGTGCAGGTGCGCTTCGCGATCCTGCAGGCAAGAGCAGGAGGCACAGGGGCAGCAACAGACACATGGAATTGGAATGAGGCGCCCACGGGGCGACGGCTGGGGCGGGCGTGTCGGCAGCTGCATGGGCTGTCAGGCAGGCAGCAGAGCGAGGCGCTGCTCCGCCTGAAAAGCAGCAGCTCCCAGGCGCGGCGCTGCTTGCTGTCGGTTCCTCGGTCCCTCCACCCCACCCCTCCTGCCGCACCTGGTTGCGGACCCACTTGGCGGCGCGGGGCCCCCTCTCCGTAGAGAACTCGCAATGGAAGATGACCGCGGTGCGCTGCCAGCAGTCGTCGGCGCCAGCAGAGGAGCAGGCGCGGGGCTGCGCCAGGAAGGCAGACACCTCCTCGGGCGTGGTGAGGTGCAGCGCGCCTGCGGGGGCAAGCCAGGGGAGGGGGTGGGCCAGGGGGGTGGGTCACACGGCAAGCGCGCCTGTGCTGCCCAGGCAGGCAAGCCGGCTGTCCAGCCTGCCTTGTGCCCACCTCTGAGCCCGCCGCGCCCTGCTAGTGCCACTCCACACCCTCCCACGAGCTCCCCACTCCCATCGCCAAAGCACCGAACCAGCAGCAGGCTCCACCCACCCGGCAGGTGCCCCCCCTGGAACTCGTAATCGTAGCGGCAGTCCACCACAGCAAAGTCGTCCAGCCCAAAGGCGGCCGCGCCGTGCGTCAGGAGGTCGCGCATGGTCTGAAGGGGCAGAGGGCGGGTGGGGACGCAGGTGGCATGCTTACACCCAGCGGCGTTGCCGACAGCAAAGGGGAACGGTGCAGCAAGGCCCGACGAGGCGCCTCCCCCTGCCTTCACCTTTGCTGTGATGGCGGGGAAGCCGCAGTCGGGTTGGTCAACAGTGGGCAGCGCGTGGCAGGGCTGGCCCGCTGAAGGGCAGGGAGTTGGGAGCGGGGAGCGCATGGGCATGCAGCAGACAGCACGCATGGCAGGACAGCTGCAACCGCACGATGAAGCATCTGCCCGGCAATGGTCTGCCTGGCACTGATGAATCAAGGCGAGGCGTAGCGAGTGGCATCCGCTGAACTCGAGGAGCAGACTCACGGAGGGGCGACAATGCGGGCTGCAGCATGGGGCTTCCGCAGGCGCAGCCGGCATCCGTGCCGCACACCGGGCTGCTGCAGCTGACGCCGCCTGCCCCGCTGCTGCTGGCGGGGCTGGCAGCTGTGTCCTGCATATCCTCGTCCGCTGCTGCCACCACTGCCGCAAGCTGGGCTGCCATGCCCGGCAGCGGAAGCGGGTCAGACCAGTAGTTGAGAAGGCTGCTTCCTCCGGCGGCCTGGGTGCCTGCTCCTGCAGCCCCACCTTCCTCGGCCGCCACCCCTGCTGCTGCCGCCGTCGCCTCGTCTGCTGCATCTGCTGCGTCTGTTGCGCGGCTGGGCCATGCGGGGCAGGCGCCGCTGAGCGATCGGCGCCGCTGCTTGGCGGCCGGCTTGATGAGGGTGGGGAAGGCTGCGCTCATGTCCGCTGTAGGCAGGCAAATGCAGGGCAGGTGATTTCCAAATTATTCTAATTTGGAACGATTTGCGGAGCGGAGTGGAAATACTGCTGCAATGAGCCAAACTTAAGGTGCAAGCCTGCAGCTCTTCCACCGAATGGCAGGACTGCTCGGCAGCCCTCTTTCTGCCCCTCACCGCCTGGGCTGATGAGCAGCTTGCGCTTCAGCGTGGGCACCCCCGACCGCTTGTTGCCGGTGGCGGGGCGGTCAAACTTGCGGGCTGCATGGGACAGGGAAGACGGCAGGGGCCAGTGTGCGGGGCCGACAGTTGGTGTGGCAGTGGCGGCAAATGTGCGAGATGGACGCGGAAGGAGCTAACTACAGCAGAGGCATGAAGCATTCGCTGGCGGCTGCAGCACACACCACCTGCCTGCTGTCCCCAAACGGGTCGCACCTGAATCGGCCTCGGCCGCAAAGCTGAGCCTGCCACGGAACACCACGTATGGGGAGGGGCTGCCGCAGCTGGCGCCGCCGCCCGTCCCCGCCACGCCGGCGGCTCTGTTGGAAGTGGTGGGGACAGCGGCCGCGGGGGTGGCCGCCGCCGAAGCCGACCTCCCCAAGCAGCACGCGATCTCTACATCTCCGCTTGGCTGGCGGCTGGCAGCCGCTGGCTCATCTACTGCAAACCGCACCGACGGCTGCTGCTTCTGGTGGCTGGGCAGCCGGGCGGCGGTTGCCTTTTGGCGCTGGGCTGTGAGGCTGAAGGGGTTTGCTGCGGCCGCGACATTGACGGGGATGGCTGCCAGCGCGGGGCGGGACCCTGCATGGGCGGCACCACTCCAGTGGCAGTTAGCAATGGGCGCAACAGGCGGCCAGCGGGGCGTGCGGGCAGGATTGACATGATGCGCAGCCAATCGGTGCAGGCGCCAGCAGTGGCTACCACCTGTACCCACAGCCCAGCGGCAGCGCGGGCTGCGGCGCCCCACCTTTGCGCAGCGCCTGCCCTGGCGTGTCGCCGTTCCTGATCGTGCGCTGCGCCTCCCAGCGCTGCGACAGGTGCAAGATGTCAAGCTCCAGCGAGGACTGGCTGGAGGAGGAGCCGTGCTGCTCCATCGCCTCCTGCATGGTCGACATGGCGCAGCCGCACGGCGGCGCCCTCCCGACGTCCACACAACCCGCCAGCAAGACCCTGCAGGCGGCGGGCCGCCGTGCCGTCAGTGCAGCGTCTAACACGCAGCTGCCAAGCAGCGATATGGCCAGAGGGTGCCACAGGTGCCGGCCATCCCCCAGCAGCTGACTGGTGGCGGGAATGGTGCCCGGCAGGCTTGTGGCGGCACAGCACACGCGGAACCCGATGCGCGCCGCACCTGGATAGCCGGGGGGCTGTGCCGCCACCGCGATTAGCAGAATCTGCAACGGTGGGCAGAACGTTGGGAGCCAACCGGAAGGCAGGGACGTCCCGCAGGCCCCAGCAGAGACGGTGGAGACGATCGAGAGCAGCTGGCGGTGAGTGCTAGGCGCCGAAACTGCGAAAACAAAAGAAACCTGGCCGCGTGCTCCGCCGTGCTGCGCCAGGTTGCGGCTGAAAACACCCTCAACCAACGGTGATTAAACAGCCTCATCTGTGTGCAGTGCACTGACTAGCCCTCAACATGCAGCGCTGCCCCTTGAGACATGCCATGATTTGCTCAGTCCCCACGCCGCTGCTCGCACGCAGCGCCGCAGCAGGCATCCGCGTGTCATTATTAAGGGCTAGGGTGCGACATGCATGCGGCAGGCGGCAGCAGCAGCAGCGGCCGCCGCCGCCGCCGGGGTGCCGCCACAGGCCGCAGCTGCGGCGCCGAGGGCTGCGCTGCTGTGCCGGCAGCAGTTCCGTAGACGAGCCCCCTCTTCTGTCAGATGAGGACGCGCTCAGCAGCGAAGACCAGCCAGGCAGCAGCGGCGGCAACGGCGGCAGCCTGCGGCGGGATGAGTGGGTGGTGCCGCTGCCGCCGCACCTGCACGGCAAGGCGCCGCGGCGGCACTGGAATGCAAATGCCCTGGCCTTCCTGGGAGACTCTGTGTGGGAGGTGGGATTTTAGCGGATGCATCGAGCATCATGTGTTGCATGGCATGGCGTGAAAGCTGGTCCTCTGCAGCCGGCCTGCGCTCGTGATTTTCTGATTTCCCGAGCCGCCTGCCTGCCTGCCTGCCTCCCTTGTACGCATGTAGCTGTATGCCCGTCGCCGCTTCTTCTACCCGCCCAGCCGCAAGGAGAGCTACTTCAGCTCGGTGGTGCAGCACGTGCGGGCGGAGACACAGGTGGGCCCTGGGCTTTGTGCTGCACGGGACAGCATGTGCCTGCGCGCTTGTGCTGGCTCCGCCCTATGTTGCCCTGCTGCAGCAGCAGCACGACGCGGCAACACGATTCTTGACAGCTGCTGCTGCCCTGGGACGCATCCCTTCCTGCCGCCTGCGCCGCAGGAGCGGCCGTACAGGCAGCTGCTGGGGAGCAACTTCTTTAACAGACCCCGAGGGGATGTGGTGCCGAGGGGGGGCAACCCCCACAGGGCGGGCCCTGCCTGCCCGGGATGCTGCCTCGGCGGCCGTGGCGCAGGCCCCTGCGGGTTGATGGTGGGCCCGCATTACTGGTGTGCGCAGGCGTGACGCCCAAGCGGCTGTCGGACACGGGGCTGAAGCGGGAGACGTACCGGGCAGCCACGGCCATGGAGTGCCTGGTGAGCCTGCGGCGCAGCAGGCGGGCACGGCGAGTGGGCCTTGCAAGCGTTGAGCTTTGGGCTTGCTGCCAACCACCTGTGCGAGCATCCTGCCGATGCTAACGCGCATGCCGTGCCGTCGCTCGTGCCCGCCGCCTCCCTGCAGTCGGGATACCTGTACCTGTCTGACCCTCCGCGGCTGCACGACATGATGTGCCTGCTGGGCCTGGGCGACGCGCCGCTCGACTGCGGCGGCAGTGGGGTGGCCGGCGCAGACGGTGGACAATGATCAATGGTGGACAATGATCGATGGCATTTGAACAGTGATGGGCTACCGTGTTTGCTGTTGTAAGCATAAATTCTGCCGGAATGAAGCGCGACAAGGGGTGCCGGGCCTGCCAGCAAAGCGTCGGTGAGGTGGCGGCGCCATGTCAGGTCCATCCAACCAGTGTCTCTCACACATTCCTCCTATGAGATTCGAGTGGTGCACGCCCTGCGCGGCTCAATGGCGGCCTCTGGTGGCGATCGGTTCGGCGTGCCCACCGCGTTTGGCTCGGGAATTGAGCTCACCACGGTAACCAGCGACGATGATCAGATGTGGGGCGCGGGGAAAGGGCTCCTGGAGAACGGGCAGCAGACCATGTGAGTGATCTCGAGGGGCATGATGAGCAGCCCCAGGAGGTTTGTGCAACACTACACGGCCGCCTGAACATTCGAAGGGCGCGCCAGCCCTGCAAGGCGCCTGCCAACGACCTGGCGCCACCGCCACCTTCACCGCCCGCTGCCACCGCCTGTCTTGCCCTTTGCTGTGCAGGCTGCAGAGAGTGCGGCAGAGGGTCAGCCACCGGCCGCTCGCGACCATTCTCATCGGCATCACAGGTACGGGGGGGTTGTTGACATCAGCGGGCGCGGTCGGCATGCTTGCCTGCTTCGCATCGCTTTGCCGATGCATTACCGCACCCAACCGCTCGTCACTCACGCAGCCTCTCTCTGCGGCACACCACCTGCAGGCTTGCTGCTGCTTGCACTGGTGGCAGCCGCGGCATACAGCAGCGGGCGGCACAGCGTGGCGCTGGGGGTCACTGGCTGCGCTGGCATCTCGCAGCCGACCACACCGGGCGACACCGTGGCACCAGAGGGTGAGTCGGGGAGCCGGGCCTGCAGATTTTGCACAGCCATGTGATGTGTGCATGCTATGTTTTTGCATGTGTTTGTTGCATGCAGCCTGGAAAGAGACACCCTCCATGTGTTGCTTTACTTGGCAGACGTAACCCAGCGGTGCTGTTTGCCACCTCCCCGACATGCAGGCAGCATCAGCAGCAGCTTTGAGGCGCAGCACGACTTCCGCGGCCGGCCGCGCAGCGTGGCAGCGCGGGGCGGCGTGGTGGCCGCAGACCACGGCCGCTGCAGCGACATAGGTGCGCTGTGCTTGAACAGGGCATGCCATGCTGCGGGCCATTGGCGTGCCCGTTTGGTCACTGTCTGCACATGTTTTTGTGGAGGAAGTGCGCAGCAGACGCCTGCTGGGCACCAGGCCACACTCGCTGCCTGCCTGCTGTGTATCCCCGTGCGCCACAGGCGCCGAGGTGCTGCGAGATGGCGGCAATGCCGTGGATGCTGCTGTGGCCACGGTGCTGTGCCAGGGCATCTACAACCCCATGGCCAGCGGCGCGGGCGGCGGCCACTTCATGCTGATCAGGCGAGCGCCCTGCGGGGCTGCCAAGGAGCTCCAGCATGCCACCGAATGATGCACTGATGGATGTACTGCCTTTGACAGATGCATCCTGCTGCTCGCGCCTGGCGCAGGCTGCCAAACGGCACTGCCGAGTGCGTGGACGCGCGGGAGGTGGCGCCGACTGCAGCCACCGAAACAATGTACAAGGGTGCGCCACTCAAGCGGCTCCGCGCTGGCCGGCCTGCTGACCTGTGGCGATAGGATGAGAAGAATAGGGCACTCGTTTCCTGACATGGCTTGCTTATGTGGCGCTGCTACTGTTGCCGCTCAACTCCCATCTCATGTTTTCTCACGCCCCCGCATGCAGGACGCCCGGAGGCCTCCATCAACGGCGGTCTAGCCGTGGCGGTGCCTCTTGAGCTGCACGGCATGTGGCTGGCGCACCAGCGGCATGGCCGGCTGCCCTGGAAGCGTCTGTTTCAGGTGGGGTGCATGTGGGTGGGTGGGTGGGTGGGTGGGGGTGGGGTGGGGTGGGGGGGGGCTCAAGTGCTGCATGCTGTGTAGGAGGTGCCAAGCAGGCCATGAGGCTATGTAGCTGTGTGTGCAACATTGTCCCGCCATCTTGCCTTGTCTTCCCCTGCAGCCCGCCATCGCGCTGGCAGAGGGCGGCTTTCCGGCGCACCCCTACCTGGGTGCGAAGCTTACGCAGCAACTGGTTGGGTGTGCCAGCCCTTGTTGTGTGCACCATCCCCTGAAGCGGCATGCGCCCGTGCAGTGTTTCCATGCTGATAACTGCCTCTTCCTACCTGCAGTGGCTTCACTGAGCGGTGAAAACCAGACGGCGGCGCTGTTGCAATGGCCCGCGATACGGGACACCTTCTTGAAGAAAGACGGCGGCAAGGTGCGGGGTGGCAGGGCCGCTCTTTGCAGTAGCCTCCTGCACATTGGTCTGCGTGCTCAACCTATGTCAGTGCCTGCCCTTTTGAGACCATGCTAGCGGGGCTGATGCCGCTCTCGCCCTGGCTGCTGCAGTGGCGGGCACCACGGGTGAATGAGACGTGCTGCAAGCGGCCCAAGCTGGCAGAGCTGCTCACAGCTGGTGAGGCCCATTGGTTTGGTTTTAACTGCTGCTGCTTACCGCTCGCTGCATGCAGTGCACCGGGGAGCGGGAGCTTGGTCGTCGCACCAACCACACCATGCTTACCTTATCTGCTGCGCTGCATCGCAGTTGCCGAAGACGGGCCCCAAGTGCTGTACACAGGGCGGTACGCCAAGCCGCTTGTGCGGGACATCCAGGCGGCAGGTGGGCGATGGCAGGGCCTTGCCCTTGTGCTGCCTGCCTCCTGCCCAATCTGTGCCACCCCGTATCATGTCATGCCTTTCACATCATCTGGGACGTCTGTGCCTGATCCGTGCAGGCGGCATCATCACAGCAGCAGACCTGGCGTCAGCAGCAGCAATAGTGCGCTCTCCCATCAGGTGATTTGGGGGACCCGCCATGTGCAGGCAGGCAGGCAGGCCATTGCAGTGCAGTGCAGGGCAGCTTGATGAACACATCGTTCTTTCCGGCTGCGTGCAGGCAGCGGGTGTGGGGTCTGGACTGGATTGCCTCCCCCCCTCCCAGCAGCGCGGTCACGGTGCTGGCAGCCCTGCAGATACTGGCAGGTGGGCCGCGCTGCACGTGTGTGTGCATTACACGTGTGATGAGGATTGCATCCAATCTGGAATGCCATGGAGCATCATTTCAGTGTCTGCACCTGCCAGTCGCCCACGCCTTCGGTTACCTCATGCTCATCCATGCCCGACCCACCGCGCTCTGCTCAATAACTGCAGGGTTTGAGCAGCCCCTGGCGGGCAGCGGCAGCCTGGGTGTGCACCGGACAGTGGAGGCGCTGAAGCACGCCTTTGCGCTGCGCATGAGCCTGGGTGAGAGACGCAGAGGGTGGATGTGGCAGGCAGGCCAGCCAACAGAGCAGATGGGCCTTGGCCGTCGCTGCTGCCAACTGTGGCTGTTGACAGGTGACAGCCAGCCAACCGCTGCCACCCGTGTGCTGTGCCTGCGCAGGCGACCCAGGGCCCGACGCCGAGAACCCCTTTGTCAACCTCACTGCCATTCTTTCCGCGCTTCACGACTCAGATTTCATGTCATCTCTTCGGTGCGCGATGCATGCGGCCTGCCCTGGCGCTGTTGGTCTGGCAGAAGCAGTGACTGTCACAGGTACAGGTGCCCCCTCAACTCCTCCAGCTTCTCTTTGTTGACCTCCCTCTCGCGCCGCATCCACTTTGCAGCACCGACATCCGTGACAATGCTCTGCCCCTCGCACACTACGGCGGGCGCTTCAATGTGACAGCTGCTGGCCTGCACCCCGAGGACCACGGCACCTCACACATAGCCGTGGTGGACGCCGACAGGTGGGCGAGTGGGGTTGTGGTGGAAAAACTGATGAGGGATGAATTGGGATGGTTGGCAAGCCACTGCGCAGGACGCAGGCTTGTGCTGTAAGCCGTTTTGCTCCAATCCTGCTGCGCTTGGCCTCTGCAGGATGGCTGTGTCGATGACCACCACAGTCAACACCGGATTTGGCAGCAAGGTTCTGTCCGCATCCACAGGCATGTGATGGGCGGGCGGTGCCTGCTGGGGGCCTGCTCTCAAGCTGCGCGTTCGTCATTGTGTGAATATGTTCAGCGCTGCCCCCTTAACTTGCCCGGCACCTATCCCCAGCCCAGCCTGCCTCTCACCCCGACTTTCCTGCTGCTTCCGCAGGCCTGCTGCTCAACAACCAGATGGACGACTTCTCCACCCCCGGCCAGCCCAACGTCTACGGCATCTCGCCCAGCCCAGCCAACTTCATACGGTGGGCATGCATGCGCCATGGGGAGTGAACCGCGCTGCCGGGGCTAAGGCGCTTCAGCCCAGCAACCTTCGGATGCAACCCTGCATCTCCCGCGTGCCTCTTGCCCTGTGCAGCCCCGGCAAGCGGCCGTTCAGCTCCATGAGCCCGCTGATTGCGGAGCGCGGCGGCCAGCTGGTGCTGGCCATCGGCGCCAGCGGCGGCCCGCGCATCATCTCCGCCGTACTGCAGGCCGCCGTCAGGTGGGGTCTGCGGCGGCAGGACTCACCTGGAGCAGCTGCCATGCTCGACACGCACGCCTTTGCTCCTCCAGCAGAGGTGCCTTCTGTTGCGCCTCGCTCCGGCCGACCCCAATTGCTTTCTGCCGCTGCCTTGTGCTGCCCAGGCTGCTGGCGTACGGCGAGGGCCTGTTTGCGGCGGTGGCCAACCCGCGGCTGCACCACCAGCTGGCGCCCGACTCGCTGTGAGCACGCCACTGCTGCTGCTGCTGCTGCTGCTGCTGCTGCTGCTGCTGCTGCTGCTGCTGCTGTCGCTGACGCTGGCCCTGGCCCGCTGTCGAGCTGGAGTTTGGGCCGGGAGAAAACGCCAGGGAGTCGCTGGGATGAAGTCTTGACTGTCGCCAGTTGCTGCCGGGCCCCCCTGCCCTTGGCCTGCCTGCCAGGTATGTGGAGGACTGGAACGCCACAGGCGTGGCCTTCCACTACGACTCCGGCATGGCGCAGGTGAGAGCAGGATTCAGAGGGTGGCCGCTGTTTGTGTACAGCCGGGCCACAACCAGCAGCAGCAGCGGCCAGCAGCGGCCAGCAGCAGCTCCAGCTGAGGTGCTGCATTGCGGCACATCGCAGAGTGCAGTTGTTGCCTGCCGCCCAGGAGCCCTTGAGCAGCTCTGTCGCGCCGTCACGCCCTGCCACCGACCGCCCCTGCCTGCAGCTGCTCAAGGCGCGGGGGCACCGCATCGCGGCCACCAAGTGGGGCGCCATCACGCAGGTGGGCACCCTGCTGGGCTCCTCTGCTCCCCAGCTGCCGCTGTGCAGGGCTGAAGCCAGCAGTCAGGAGCCCCTCTGGCCTTCCGCTGGTTCAGTCGGTTGCCTGCAGCCAGCAAGCGCCTCTGCCATCACGTCCTCGGGGCGCTCACGGTCCTGCTCCACGTCTGGCGCTGCCATGCAGGCGGTGTACCGCGATGCAGACAGCGACACGCTGCACGCCGTCAGCGACCCTCGCAAGGACGGCGCGCCGGCAGCTGCGTAGGCGCGGCACCCCCTGGCTGATGAATTCTTCTTCTTGTACACCTGGCTCCAGCCGGCGGGGCGCAACATGATGTAATGCTGCTGCACCGTGGCCAGGTTTATCTCTGCATCGCTTCTCCCAGTCGCGCGCTTGGGGGTCAATAGAAGCGCTTGCCACTGAAGCAGCGAGCCTCGTTGAAGCAGTGGTGAGCCAGGGGCTGCACGGCTGCCGCCTGGCAGGAGACCCATTTTGGCGGTGCCTGTTGGTCTCCCCGCCAGCGAGGCCCACCGCCCACACTCCCCCGCGCCAGTCGGCTGCTCATCGCGCAGGCGTCTGTCTTCAACAATCGGCATTCCCTCTTCAGGCTATGTATCTGGGAGCCACATGGTCATTATGAGTATTCCAGCAAGGATTTATTCACTGTGTGAGGACGTTCAGCTGCTGCCAGCTCTGCTCGTCAAACGGGGTACGGCGCTGCCCCTGCGCCGTGCCCACCACCGCCGCCTGACGCGGCAGTGCCTGGGATGGGCTGCACTTGCTCTAGTGCGTGCCCATCCCAGAACTGCGCTGTCTCAGGGCCAAAGTTGATGTGGGGGTGAGGGACACTTGCGGTGTACTCCGCGCAGTACAATTTGAACTTTAGGCAGTCAAGAGGCCTGGCCGCATTGCTGCTGATTCCCACTTTGCGACGGCACGCAGACGTTTGAGGCCAAGCTTTGCAACCTACCAGGCCGCCAAGCTCACGATGCCTGGCCAGGACCAGCCTCCAGGGCCTGCAGAGGTGCGCAGCGCTGGCCAGCAGGCCGGTGTGACCTCGGGGCACCTCGCAAAGGGCAGAAGCTGGGCAGCGTCTCCTACTGCGTGGGAGTGCGCAGTTTCAAGGCAACCCTGCGTGCTTCTGCGGTGCACAGCTGCGCTGTGGAGAGGCGAGGAGCTCCTGCACTGATAGTTGCGGCAGCCGCCGCGGCCGCCGTCAACCCTGAACCCTGCCGCCACGAACTGCTCCTGCGTTGCAGGCGGGGCTCGTGGCCCGCGTCGGGCGCTCCTTTTGCGGGACGGGACCTGCCTTCCTGGCCGCGTGCGTGCTGGCCATTCTCGTGCTGGGCGCCCCACAGCTGCTGGCGAAGGGCGCTGGGCCGGCGCAGCATCTGCACGTGCACGTGCACGTGGCGCCCTGCCGCTCAGAGCGGCCTTCTCGCCGAGGAGTGCAGGCGCAGGACGAGCCTCCCACTCCGCCGCCGCCATCTCTGACACTGTCTTCTGGCCAGCTGCAGCTGATGCTGCATCCCGTCTGCGCCGAGTCTGAGCAAGCGGCTGCGGGTGAGGCTGCCCAAGCGCTGCCGCTGGTTGGGTCCAGCTGGATTGCAGTGGGGATGTGGTTTCCATTTCGGTATTTCAGGCAGCGCTCCCACTCAGCCGATGCTGCCGCATGGTGCTGCCAGCAGTGCACAAGAAGCCGCTGCGCCCCTTTCGTCAGTCCCCTTTTGCTGCAGGCAACAGTGTCGGCGGGAAGGCCATCCAGGCAGAGCCAGCCGGCTTGGCACAAGGTGAGGCCCTGCTGCAGCCACAGATGCGTATGTGTGCTGGCCCTGCTGTGTGGCATGTTTTTTGGTCGGTGCGGCGCCCAGAATGCCTGCCTCTCTGTATCTTCTGGCTGCAGATGCGCGCCAACTGCCCCCCTTCGTCGGCAACACCTGCCCGCCGAATGCTGCCTGCGACGACGGCAACCTGGGCCTGGACGTCCCTCCCGCACCTGCGACCCTGCCCAGCAGCAGCCCTGTGGATGAGGTGGACAGCGCGCCTGGTATGCTGCCGGCCGAGCGGTGGCGGAGCTGTGCAGCGCCAGCACTGGCCTTCCTCTGGTGGCGTTGATGTGTGTGCATGTGGCCCGCGCTGTCCCGCAGGTGGCGCCGGCGCTGGGAGGCACGGTTGGGTGGATCTTCTGTGTCGTGTTCTGACAGGTGAGTGCAATGGAGCACCTTGACTTGCAGCCCAGCAAGCCGCTCCCGCACCTGCCGCCACACCTGCGCACTCGATGCGCCTTTCCCGGGTCCCGCCGCCGCCCGCAGGCCTGGCGACGGTCATTGTGGTCCTGCCATTCACCCTGGAGCGTGATGTCCGCCCTGTGGTGTTCAGGACGCTGCCGTTTCTGGTTGCGCTGCTGGTTCTGATTCTGCTTCTGATCAGGGCAGTCATCATTGCGCTGAGCCCGGTTGGGCCGGCACAGTACCGCGCACGCCATTAGTGCACAGTCAGCGAGGGGACGCGGCGTAGGCAGGCCGCTAAGTGGCCGACCGCAGAACTCATATTCAGCACCACAGGATTGGTCCAGCTGTTGGTGCCTGCGTCATGGCCTTACGGAACCTACTGAATGCAATGCTTCATGTATTCCACTGTTATTTGTCTGTGTGAATTCAACATCCGTGACATTTTTGTTTTTGTATTCTGTAATGTGTGTCTGTCAGTTGCTGCGCGAGATGCGGGATCGTGCTCCCAGCGTAGGCGGCAGCAGCACAAGGCTCATGCTTGCGCCCGTCCTTTGCCGCCGTGCTTAGCACTGCACAGATTGGCGGTGGCTCCCCAATCCACCTGGCATCCAGCAGGTATGAGTTAGACCAGGCCTGAGGACCCTTCGCTCGATGCAATTAAACACATTGGTGCCCCATGTCGCAGGCCTGTGGCCCGCCCCGCTGGCGCGGCGCCGCCAGACAAGCAACTCTTCTCATGCGGTCCTCGTTTCTGTTGCTTTGCATCACTTAGATCAGCCTAGTGACCTCCTTTACGATCTTTGCTCGTCTTGGGCGGCCGGCGAGCGAACGATGTCGAGTGCAAGGCTTGCCTCTGCGGAGGTCATCACCGGTGCAGGAGGCGATGGTCAACTTGTGGGGACCGGGTACAGGCCTCCTGCAACCCGGCGTTGTGAAGTGATGGTGAGTTGATAGAGGTGGACAAACCAGGTGCTAGTGCGAGGTGTGTGCAACGGCTGCTCATGTGAGCATTGAATCCGAGACGTGCGTGCAGGGCCTGCGGCTCAGCGCCACCATCGCATCGCCCGCCGCTACCCGCCCCCCCCACCTCCCGGCCTGGCGTCTGCTCGTCCCTGCTGTGCAGGCTTTGGCAGTCTGTGGTGCAGGCTCGCTGGCCCAACCCATCACTGCAGCACCGCACCTATCAGTCAGCGTTGCAGGGGCGAGGCAGGCCCCGAGTCGGATGCTCTAGCAACGTGTCCACCTCTACTTGGTCCATGGCCCGCTCTCACCAGCGTCTGCCCCAGTGTGGATGGGAACCGCAGCTGGCAGCAGCGATCCGGCACAGCAGCGGACGGCACGTCACGGCGGCGAAGGTTGTCGCCAGCTGCGCCTCCATCTCGCAGCCCCACCGTCCCCGGCGACGACGTGGTGCCTGCAGGTTGGTCATCCTCGCTCGCTGATGTTTGGCTTGGCTGTGCAACGCCGCTGCTGCCTGGTGCATGCAATCTGTCCTGCGCTGCTGGGCTGACCTGCAGTGTGCTGGTTCCCTTGGCATGTTGTTGTGCCTGGAATTGGATTGAGTCAGTGGTGATTGAGCACCTTGTGCATGATGCGGTTTACCTGCCTCCTTTTCTTGCAACAGGCGCATCATTACCATGCCGATGCTTGTTTCCAGCGTGCTGCCTTGCCCATACACCTGCAGGCCATTTGCGCACCTGCTTTGACGGCGGCCTGGGAGTTCACCTGGAGGTGCACTACGTGCGCTTGCTCCAGGTGCGACTGGCTGGGCAAGGATGGCTGTACAGAGTCGCCGCTGCTGCAGTGTATAGTATTTAATGCATAGTGCTTGGGCCGACGAGATGCTGCGGGGCTCCCCTCTTTTCATATTTCGCCCGCAGCAGCAGCGGGCGCGCGACTCGCTGCGGCTGTTTGTAAACACCCCTCCTATGCTGCTGCTGGGTTGAAGGCCTACCCGCTGCTGCTCTGTGCAGGAAGAACAGTAAAGCCGGCATCGCATGCTGCATTCAGCCCTGGAGCGCAGCAGGACGGCGCCTTGCCAATGAGCACGCAGGGATGGCGCAGGTGAGGGGAAGGGCGCTGGTCTGTGTTGCAACGGAAGCTCACAGGCAGCAGCAGCAGCAGCTGCTGCTGCGTGGCAGCGGGTAGCGCAGCGGTCAGGTGGGGCAGCTGCGCACCACCAATGCACCTGCCAGCAGGTGTGTGTGCGCTGATCCTTCCGGCCTCCATGCCTGCAGACGCTCGGCTAATCTGATCAGCCCGCAGGCATGAGTGCCCGCCGACAGTCTGAGCTTCAATGAAGCAGCGGTGAGCCTGGCTGCTTGACGGCATGCTGCCTGCAGTCGCTCCTGGCATGTGCTTGCTTGACACTTTCTTCCCGTTCGTGGCTCCTTATCTCCCCCGTCGCGCACTCCACCATTCGCACTGGCACCACCTCTTCCACATGCCCTGCCCCCCAGCCCGCACCTGTTGCCCATCAACGCTGTGCGTGTGCCTTCCCTGCTGCAGATCTGCAGGTCCGGACTGCAGCAAGTACAGGGCCGCTTGGCCCACATGTCCCTCCACTCACCGCCTGGGGCGCGGCTGCCGACCAGGTGGGTTGCTGCTGTGGGTGCTGCCATAAGTCCCAGAGCACAGGCGTTTGTCGATCGAATGCAATCCTCCTGCCCACCACCTCTGCAAAATGCGAGTTTGCTCCAGAAGAATGTCCCCGCTTGCAACAGCAGCACCAGCAAGTTTGCCAAGACGCTGCTGTGCGCGCCGCGCCGCGCCACGCACTGGCGGTGCTGAATGCCGAGCGGAGGACGTGTGTTGCATCTCGCAACACAAATGTGCCATTCACGAGTAGAGAAACATATTCGGAGCAAATTGGCAGCTGGTTCAGCTGTACCCTCGCTCACTCCCTCGCGCCGCCTTGTCGCTCTCCCACCGCCACTTGCCGCTTGGTCGCCGCAGCGCCTGGCTGGGGCTGGCAGCAGAGCTGCTCTAGGTCGAACCACTCTCGAACCTGAGGAGGGCGGATGGAAAGAGGGAGGAGGACCAGAGCAAACCTTCTGGTGTACTCCGCTTGCAGTACGCCTCGTTTGTGCCATTCCTTGCTCCCAGGAGCCTGCCTCCACCGCATATCGCTGGCTGTGGGCCTCCAGTGCTTTGAAGCAACCAGGGTGGGCAGCAGTTCGACAAGAGTGCTTCTCGTGCTCGCCAGAAGGGGCACCGGGGATGGAACATGGCCAGGAGCCGACCCCTGGGCCTGCAGAGGTGGGCAGGAAGCAGGGCAGGGCAGGGAGCGGGCCCGCTCACCCCTTCGCACCTTTTTCGAGGGACCGCTGCCCACGCCCCTCTCTGGCTGCCTATCGAGTTGTAAGGGCGCTGCATACACTGGATGGGCAGCGCCCTGCAGGATGTCCCCTGGGGCTGGCGAGACCGTTGCACGCTCGACGCTGCCATCAGCTGCTCTTTGTACAAGGACATATCCAAGGCACACGCCAAGGTTGCTTGCGCTCCAAGGTTCTCTCTGATCTGCTATCCTGCTGTGCAGGCCTCAGGCGAAGCGCAGGCACAAGGCGGCGCCCCGACAGGCAGCAGCCACATCGCTGATGACGCCGGCGGTGCCAGCAGCAGCAGTGGCAGGCCGCCTGTCAGCAGAACAGGTGCTGGCAGTAGGCAGCAGCCAGCCAACAGAGCCGGCATCGCGCTGCGCAGGGCCGCAGTGGGCCCCGCACCATGGCCCCTCCCGGCTGGCCCTGTATTTGGGTTGCACAACAGTCGTGCAACTGCAGCCGTGCCAATTGCCGTGGGGTTCTCTCTGCAGTGTCAGCGAACGCTGCATTTGAGAGCGCGGCAGCTGGACCTGCAGAACCAGCAGCAGGAGTACAGGCGGCACCTGCAGGAGTCGATTCGGCGGCAAGCGCCTGCACAGGTCTTGCCGCACAGGCAAGTGATCCAGGCCGCCGAATCGGCCAGGCACGCCAGGGAGCTGGACGCCCTGCAGACAGCTGTGACCGGCATTAGCTCAAGTAAGGACATGCGCTCCACTACCTGTGCATGCATGCAGCCACCATGCCTTGGGAAGCATGTGCTGCTGTTCGCACCTCTGCTTTTGCACCGCTTCCACATCACAATTGCGGCGCGCTCCATGCAGACGCCAGCCAGGTCCAAGAGCAGCAGGCGCAGGAGGCTCTGCGCTCGAGCCTGGAGGCATCTGTACACATGCGGCAGGCCGCTGAGCAGGTGCATGGTGCCAAATTCTTTGCCATTCATAACCTGAATCCCCGGGCCTGGGTGCCCTTGCCCGCTATTGCAGCATCCGCGCCCAGCTGGCTTGAATCGCATCGCCTGGCAAGTCCCTCGCTTGCCTTGAGCTTCTCAGTGTCTGGCATCCCTGCTGTGCAGCTGGCGGCACGGCATGACATTCACATCGCTGAACTTGAACGATTTGGCGAAAAGGTGCCAAGCAGTTCCCCGGTGCGGTCTGTGGTGCTGTCCCTACTGGACCGCGGGAAGACCCTAAAGGTGAGCGCGTTGCTGCCCTGCTCAATTGGAGAACAGGTGGCAGAAGGATGGGTTTTGACTTAGCACTCCCCTGGGCCGGAGCTGCAGGATGAGCTGGAGCGGCTACTGGCGAGTTTGAAAGATCCGTGCCATGTGGTTGTTGTCACTCATGCAGCAACGGTACGCCTGATTTGCTTTGCTGTGGGTGAACACATGACTGGATGGCGTCCAGCCGCCTGCTCCAGCCGCCTGCATCCTCCAACTCCCCCAGATGACCTACCAGCCCCTGCCTCCGCCTGGCAACCTAACATGCGTGGTGCTGCTACCTGCAGGAGGACTTGGATGCAATGCAGCTGGAGACGCACCTTGCCACGCTTCAAGAGTGCGCCGACGCGGCACGGTTGATGCGCAACCAGCACGCGCTTCTGGGCAACCTGCACCACAAGCTGGGGCAGATGCAGGTAGGACATTCTGCATGTGCTGTTCTGTGCTATGCAGTGGATCGACAAACTCGTCCTGTAACCTTTGCAGGATACCATTCAGTTGCTGGATGGATGTGTGCAACCGAGAGACTTGGATCAGGGAGACCAGGTATAGTATAGAGGCAGCTGCGACCGCTGCCGCAATGCACACGCTATGCTCTGTGCTCGCTGGACGCGGGTCCTGCCCTCCCCTCTCGCGCTTGGCTGCGCAACAGCACGCGCACCGGCCACTGTTGCCTGCTGTGCTCCTCCCCCTCCCCCAGCTGCTGGAAGGCGTGTCGGTCATGGCGGAGTACCTGCGGCGCTCTGTTGGCGATCAGCACCTTCCAGCTGCCCACCTCAATGCCTGGCTGCACCTGTCCGAGCAGCTGGAGGGATACGCACAAGCCCTCAACAGCAAGCTGCAGCACCACCGCGAGGCAAGCAGTATGCAATATTCAACATGCTGATAGTTTGCTGTACAGCACGGGCTAGCTGCTGCCTCCTGCCTGACACTGCGGCTCAATTATTGTTGCCACCTTGCAGGGGATGCTGCGAACCATCCAGCATCCGCCCCTGGAGCACTCTGAGACGGTACGTTGTCTGGCAGGCTCCAGACAGAGACGCACATGCTAATGTGACCAGCGCTCGCAGATAAATGCTGGGGTCAAATATGACGACCGCGTGCCTCCCACCTGCCACATACCTGACCTGCCGGCATTTTCTGCACCTTGTCTCTCTGCAGGCATCTGTGCCCAGCTCCTCAAGCAGTTCTTCGGTGCATGCCTCGCTGAGTCTTGCCAGAGTGTCTGAGGATGACGGCTCTGGAGGATGCACGCCTGTGGAGGCAGGCCTGCGGCAGGTGCAGATGGTGCCTGGGCTGAGCGATGTTTGGACTCAGCTGTTTGCTTTGATCATGGGCACCAGCGATACGCTGGGCACGTTTTGCCTGACCTTTGCCTGCTGCCTGCTGTAGGAAGGGTGGCCCCTGCACCTGCAGCAGCAGGCACATCTGGACTTCAGAGGGGGTCTGGACGAGTTGCTGGATGCCCAAGAGCGTCTGAGCGAGGCCGAGGAGGTGCGCCAAAATCGTGTGGCATGTTGCCGTAACCCAGGGCGGCAGAATTGAGATGCAGTGATGGCTAATGGTGGTTTTGTCTCCCTGCTGCAGCGTCACAGTGCCGCTTTGACAGACGCAACAAGTCCCAGCAGCAGCAGCAGCGCCAAGCGGGAGCTTATTGCAGCCCATGACGACAACAGGTCACTGCGGGCACAGGTCCAAGTATTAAAAAAGAAAGTCGTCAGCCAGCAGCAGCTTGTGAAGAAGCGTTCTACCCAAATGCAGGCAAGCGCTTGCTGCGTGGATTGCGACTGCTGCACCCTGCCTTCATCTCTGTTTATGTTGCTGGCTGGCTGGAGCACGCTCTCATTTAGAACCTTGATTTTGGGTGTGGCTGCAGGAGTTGAAGTGCACCATGGCGCAGGCAATCAAGCAATCGCAACAGGGCAGCAGCGGCGACGTGAAAGCTCTGCTCCCCAACATCAACAGTTTGGCCATGGTAGGCTGGCAGGCTGTTGGGGGTGCAGACATTCAGGCTGGATGTGGCTGCGCCCTGACAGCGGCGCTGGCGCTGTTGTGAGCCGCGTCTGATGTTGCTCAGACGTGGCTCTCCCCCCTTCCCGCCCGGCTCGCCTGGCACTGATAGGAGCTGACCACCGTGACAGCCGAAGTGGCCGTGCTGCAAGGTCGGCTCGCCAGCAAGCCCATGGCCGAGGTGCTGGCAAACCCGCTGCCGGATCCTGTGTTGGCCTGGTTTGCCGAGCAGCAGGGTAGCATTGCCTCCGACCAGGCGTTCCACCTGGCTGCAATGGACCACCAGAGCGCCATGGCGGTTTACATCGCCAAATTGGAGGTGAGCAAGTTGGCGGATAGGGCACGTGCTCCTCTGCTTCTGCTGCTGTTGTGGGCGCGACTACTCTGTTGGCCCCTGGTCAAACGGCAGCTGTTACGATCCAGCCCCGGCACGGGCTGTGTTTGAGCACGCCTCCTTACCTTCGTTGTTTTTGCGTGCAGGCATCGGAGGCCGAGGTGCAGGCTGCACTGGTGGACATCGGTTTCATCCAGCAGGCGACCAGCGCGCTGCGGGAGCGCCTGACCAACATGGGCCACTCGCCGCTGCATCTGCACGGCAAGTTTTTGCTGCTGTTGTTGTGCATGTGCTCGCGGCATCGTGGTGCTTTCAAGCATCAATGCAGGCACTGGGATTGAGCACAGCTGCCCAAGGGTCCGCGCATCTTGTTTCTGACGTCAGTTGCCTCATTGGGCCACTCACTGGTTCAGGAGACGCCATTCCCTGGAATTTGGCAGCGGGCCCCGCCATCACCGTTCTCAAGAAGAGCTGCGACAAGCTAGCCGTGAGTTGACTGCGACTTGCCGTGGTGGTGGTCATTATTCAGGGTCCCGATTGTGCTCCATCCCACTGTCCTGAGGTCGCGCCCGTGTGGCTGGCTGCCATGCTGCAGGCAGATTGCTTCGAGGCGCTTGAGAAGCTGCCTCAAGCCGTGGAGCTGGCAGCGCAACGTCGGACGGCCCAAGATCTGCTCGCTGGGCTCAGGCAGTCGTGGGCTAAGTTGCAGCAGCAGACAACAGAAGCAGCCACCGCCTTTCCAAAGCAGGCTCCTGCCACAGTGAGCAGCGCAGCGCTCTTTGTGGCTGACAAGGAGCGGCAGCAGCAGGAAGCACAGACACGTGCCCAGCTCCAGGCGGCGCAGGCGGTGCAGCAGGCGCCGCCGCCGCAGCAGCAAGAGCAGCAGCTGAGCAGCCAGCTGAGCAGCCAGCTGGAGGGCCTCAGCCTCCCGCCAGCAACTGCCGCAGTAGAGAAGCTGCGGCGGGCAGCTGACCTGCTTGGGGAGCAGCGGTCAGCAGCACAGCTGCCAGAGCCAGTGCGGTGTGCGCTGGCGGGAGCGGCGGGGGCCGCCAAACAGTTGGGCTTGTTTGGCTTGGCAGAGGCTGAAGTGGTGACCCAGCAGGATGACTGGGCGCTAAACCTGCAGGGGGAAGAAGGTCAGCAAGGAGAACTCCACCCTTTCTGGATGCAAGCCTGACGGCGGCGGAGGAGAAGCATGGGCAATCCCTGCGCGTGCCTCCAAATCATATCATGCCAATATGCAACGCCCTGCCCTGCTTGCCTTGCAGCATCGCCGCTGGCATACAGTGGCTTCCAAGTGGCGGCTATGCTAGAGCACCACGCCTCCCGCCTGCTCGACTGCGCTACCCTGCTGCTGCCAGACCCCGGCGCTGACCTACCCCCACAGGTGATGCACTGCACTGCCACAGCTTGTGGCAGCCCAGCCAACCCCCCTCCCCCAAACTGCACAGTCAAGCAGATCGCCCGCCCTGCTTGTGCCATCCCTGATGTGTGTCGATTCAAGCTGCTGCTGTCACCCGCCAACTCCCCCTGCCTACAGACGGAGGCTGACCGCGGGGTCGGGGACATTCTGGCTGCATCGTGCCGCCACGCAGAACGCCTTTCAGAGATCAGTCGCTGCATGGTGGTGGTGCTGGAGGTGAGTGACACTCAGCCCAACAGACACCCTCGTGGTTGGCAACCAGTCCCTCTACTGATTATACACTCAGTAGAGGGCCCTGCAGGGACTCATCACATCATGCTTGTTAGCATCCCCCACCTACCACATGCCGTCGGTCTGCCTTTATGTGCTTGACCCTTCACGGTGCACGTTTGCTGGCTTCCTGTGGCCGCCTGCAGGTAATGCGTATGCCAGCAGACTTGGTTGCGGAGCTGCAGTCCCTGCAGCAGAAGAAGATCGCCAATACTGTGACTGCCGAGGAAGCGCTGGTGGGTGTCATTTTCGGCAGAGAGCGCCTGCAGCGTGCCTATGTAGGCGACAGTCAAGCTGACTTGCGTCAGTAGGCGACAGTCAAGCTGACTTGCGTCATGGGCATGCTGCCCCTTTGTGCATTCCTGCAGCGGGCGTCAATTCTGCACGACCAGCTTTGGGGCCGCTTCCAGCTGGGTGGCGCTGCGGCAGCGCAGCTGCGAGTGCTGCAACTGGAGTCCGCAGCCGCTAGCTGCCAGCAGCTGGCGGTCAACCTGCATCTCCCGCGGCCATCTGTGGAGGTGCGGCAGGCCGCTGAGGAGGCGCTGCAGCAATTGAGGAGTGATGCACGCAGCTGTCTGGCAGTAGCTGCTCCCAGCGCCAGCCAGCCCGGCGCCCAGGACCAAACAGAGTTCCTCATGCTGCTGCTTGGAGTGAGTGAGCCCCTCCGCCTGTGGTCGCGATTCTGTTGGGAACGGTGGTGGTTGCAACTGCAAGTCTGCCTGGTGGAACAGTCAAGCTTGCTGGGTCGCAGCGTGCCGACTCATCTGAGTTATGAACTATCTTGTGCTCACCATATTCTCTGCTCCCTGTCGGTGCAGATGGCGGAGAGCTTGGAGCGGAGCAAAACAGTGCTGCAGCAGGAAGCCTCAGCCTGCACCAGGGATGCAGCAGCTGTGCAGGCCAAGATTGCGGCGCTTGACCTGCATTTGGCGCAGGTGCAGGCATCGGTGGATCGGGTAGAAACCCTGCGGCGGTCGGCACCGGGTGCGCAGCAGGGAGTAGCAGCAGACGCAGTTGGGCGCCAGCAGCAGATGGAGGAGGAGTTGCGACAGCTGAAGGAAGAGCTGCAGCGGGCGCAGGGGCAGGTGGCACATGCGCAGCAAGCTGAATCTGCAACGGCAGACGCACAGCAGGCGGCAGCTGATGTGGCGCGCCTGCTGGAGCAGACGCGCGAGGAAGCAGCTGCAGACAAGGCGCAGCACGAGTGCGCGCTGCGGCAGCTGGAGCACCGGGCCAGCCAGCTGCGTGTGCTGCAGCAAGAGGTGGAGCGGCTCAAGGCAGCGCTGAGCGCCGAGCAGCAGGCCACTGCAGCAGCGCTGCGCGCCAAGCAGGATGCGTCTGCAGCAGCGCTGCGCGCCACGCAGCAGGCATCTGCCACCCAGGTTCAGCTGGATGACGCATACAGCGTCATCGGTAGTCTGGAAACCAAAGCCTCCGACCATGATATGCTTTTTAAATACATGGCCAACATGGACGAGGTAAGCCGCTGCAGCGCTGCAGCTGGGCCATGTGGGCGCTTCCAATTGAGTGGTCGTTGCCCTGTAATCAAGCATTTTCCTTCTGATTTTGACTGCGACTGCGGACTGTATGTGTGGTTCAGTGCGGAGGTGGTCTCCGCACTGAAAGCCTCCTCAGTGAGTCCTGGATGCCCTTCTTTGCTGACTGCTCACGTGCAGGTGATGAACCGCATGCGGCGGCAGGAGGGCACCGTGCGTGACCTGCTCAGCGAGATGGAGGAGCCGCTGCTGCGGGCGCTGGAGGAGGGGACCCTGGTGGGAGCCCCGCGGTCGGCAGTTTTGGACGCACTGCGCTGTGTGCAGCGCCTTCGCTTTCCGTCAGACCAGGCCCCAGATGCGACCGAGGGTATGCTGCAAGAGGTAGGCGGGCTGCTGCCTGGAATGCGCTGCACGAATGGCTGATTTTCTGGGTTTCCATGGTCAGTTGTGGTGAAATCGGCTTCTGGGGTTCACATGGCTGAAGTGCTCCCTCGCACTCACTGCGTGGTGCAGGTGCTGGAGCTGTTTGGCAAGCTGCGCACCTTGCTCGCTGCAGCCGAGACGCAACCTGCCCCCAGGCTCGAGGCACTGCTCGAAGATTTCTTCCTGAGCTGGGCTGCTCGGTTTGAGTCCATGCTGCGCTCTGTGCACAGCATCCTGCAGGCCACCATGTCCGACAGTGTCCTGGCCCCGGGCCTGTCGCGCTTCATGCTGGAGGTGGGTCGGCAGACACCGTAGCCGTGTCCGACTGGCGCTGCACTGCTACATGCACTTGAACCATGCCCTGCTGTTGCCTGCCTACTGACACAATCTAAACGATTGCTCCGCCCACGTCCTGCTGTCTGGCTGCTTCCAGGCAATGGCCACCACATGCAGCAACCTCAGTCCCGAGCTGCTGGCGCACCTTGGACCTGAGTTCAAGGCGGCCTTTGCTGAAAGATTGAGAACCTTTGCACATTCTCTGGGTATCCGTTGGGTACGCTGCCAGAATCTTCGCAGCCCAAAGCACGCCTCCCTGCCGACGCTACTTCCCTGCTGGTGCTGCCCCCGCAGGAGGTCCAGGAGCTGCAGCATGAAGGCGCTGCAGCTGAAGCAACACCTGCGACACAGCAGAGGCAGCGCTCTCCCACTGCTTTTGAGCTGCTGGGGGAGGCAGTGAGGGCCTCGCGTCTTAGCTCAGAGGGGAGCTTCTTGCTGCAGCCAGCGGGACCACTGCCGGCTTCCCTTGCCCAGGGCAGCTGCAGCAGCGACGGCGGCCACACAGGCGGCGGCAGCAGCAGCAGCAGCAGCAGCAGGAGTAGCAGCCACGAGGGCTCGCCCCTCGCCAGCCCCGACGCAGCCTTCAGAACAGCAGCGGAGGCTTTAGTGGGAGATGTTTTAAGCAGCAGCAGTAACCAGCTGGTCAGCAACCTGGTTGGGAACCTGGTGAGCACCAGTTTGGGGCCACTGGTTGGACTGGTTGATGCGCTGCCTCGTCGGGCCTTTCCAGTCATATCACCTTTTGGTCCATACGTGTTTGTTGTGCAGGCTGCCGCCGAGGCGGCTGCAAAAGGTCTCACGGACTGGGCGCCACCTAATGCACAGGCAGACGCATCTTGCGCCTTCCTTGCCTGTGCTTTTTCCGGCACGGCGTCCCAGTCGCAGATGAACAGCCAGGCTTCTAGCCGTGTTTCCAGCGAGGAACGGCTGGCAGCAGCGCCGGCAGCAGGGGTGCCTCCCACTGCTGGTACTGCAGGCTCAGAGCCGTTGCAGGTGGCGCACACACCAGCCGCGACGACCAGAGTGGCTGAGGCAGTGCTGCCCCTGGCCCTCTTCCAAACCCCGGCGGTACGCTTGTTGCCCTTGCTGATGGCCACCGCCCACCTCTCTGCTGCCCGATTCTGCAGTGCACTAAAGATTGCTGAAATCGCACCTGGCCACACCGGCTGCCGCTTCGCTGGTCAGCTGCGCCGCCTGTCAGTCCGCCGATTGTGACGTTAGGTTATGGTTGCTCCTTCCGCCTGCAGTCGGAGGCTGGATCCCGCTCAAGCCGGGATGTGTTCTCGTCTGTTTCTGGCCAACAGCAGGTACGCATGGCGCCGGCAGCGCCCCGCTCGCACACCCTGGCAGCAGGAGTGTCTTTGTCAGAACCTTGCAGGCAGCCGCCCGCCTAGGCAGCGGAGGTGGCTGCTTCTTGGCAGGAAGCTGGGCCTGACGCTGCCTGTCGGATCGTGCCCTGCAGGCGGAGAGCGCCCCGTCAGATGAGCTTCAGCGGCCGCTCTTCCCCACGCCCACGAGCCTGGCAGGGGAGACACAGGTGACACAGCAGCCGGCGGCGGATGCAGAGGCGGAGGGGGCCAGCGCTGGTGCCCAGCCGCCGCAGCACCAGCGCGCCGCGGCCGAGGTGGTTGTCGCACGCCGTGTGATTGCTGGGGCAGAGCCCTCGCCTGCTGTTCATTATCAGCGCGCCGCCTCTCTATCTCCTGCTCCACTGGCTCCTGCTACAATGGAGCAGAAGGTAGAGAGGCCGCGCGCTGATAATGAACAGCATGCGACGGCTCTGACCCAGCTATCGCGCTGGGAGGCATGCACGTCGCCGGTTACATGCAGGACCGTGCGGCTGACGGCCGCGCAGGGGGATGTGGTGGGCGCAGGAGCGGCGAGGAGAGCTCATGCGCTGGCGCCAGCTGCTCTCCTCGCTGCTGCATCTCCGCTTGCCCGGCTGCCATCTGAGCTGCCATCCCCGCCACCTCCTGCGCCGCCGCCACTTCCTGGTGCCGCAGGTAACCGCCGATGTTCATGCCCTGGAGGACCAGGTGATGGAGCTGGAGGCCCAGCTGGCAGCGCTGCAGGCGGAGGTGCAGCAGCGAGAAGAGCAGCTGGCAGCCAGGCAGGCGGAGATGTTCCAGCAGGGCCAGCAGCTGGCGGTGGCGCAGGAGGAGGTGGTGGGGCTGAATTCCCAGCTGGCATCCGAGCTCGGAACGGAGCTATCGCGCTGGGAGGCATGCACGTCGCCGGTTACATGCAGGACCGTGCGGCTGACGGCCGCGCAGGGGGATGTGGTGGGCGCAGGAGCGGCGAGGAGAGCAGCTGGCAGCGGCGCAGGAGGAGGTGGTGGGACTGACGGCCCAGCTGGCAGCCGAGCGGGCAAGGGGGGAGCAGCAGGGCGAAGCCCTGGTTGCGGCGCAGGCGGAGGCAGCCCAGCTGCGAGGCACCATTGCCTGCATTTGTGACGCCGCAGCCATCCCAGTGGTGAGCTCCTCGCGTTTGCATGCAGCTGTTCATTGAAGGGTTGCGCCCTGGAAGCACTGCCTGCAAGCAGGCCTCAGCAGTGGCCGACCTGCTGCTGCTCTGCTGTGCCGTGCAGGCCACGCTCGTGCTCCTGCTGCTGCTGCTGCTGCTGCCGCTGGCAGCGCTCCTGGCGGCGGCGGCCACCCTGGCGTTTGTGCCGCACGCTCGTGAGCGCGTGCTGCGTCTGCTGGGCCACGTCAGCAGGCTTCTGCCGTGGCAGGTGGGTTGCTGCGCTTGCTCCGCTGAAGGCGAATCGCCTGCCTGCAGAAGTGGGAGCATCTGGCTGACGCTGCCAGCACAAGCTCGGAGGGTTGCTGCTTGGGCAGACGTTGTTCCTCTCTCATCCCGGCTCCATCCATGTGCCCCATGCCCCTGCAGGCGCCCGAGCTTCCAGCGCCCATGATGCAGGTGCGCAGTGCGGCTGGCCTCGACGCCATTCAGTCGCAGCCCCATCCTCAGTGACAGGGCCCCATCCCCATCACCTTGGGACCATGGCCTGCTGTCTTTGGCACCCTGCTCCTGCTCCCCCGCCACCCTCCTTGGCGCTCCACGCTTCTGCCTCCCCTGCCTCGCAGTCGCTTCCGCGGGCTTTCCGCGAGGTGCTGGCCGCGCTGGCCCTGCTGGTGGCGCTGTGCGTGCCGCCCTGCGGCTGGGCCGCTGCTGCCGCCTGCAGCAAGGCGCCGGTGCTGATGCTGGTGAGGGGCCGCCGCTTTGGCAGCCATGGCTGCGGTGCTGCCTCTTTTTGGAGGGGACACCGGCACCTGCAGCAGCAGCACCACCACCACCGCCAGCAGCAGCAGCAGCATTGGGTTGGATGCATACTGGTCACCCTCAGTCGCTTCTGTGCCTCCCCGCGCTGCAGGCCGCGGCGCTGGTGGCAGCCCTCCGCCTGCTGACCTGGCTGTGGCGCCGGTACCGCGGCGCGGGGGCCGCCGCCTTCCTGGTGATTTAGGGTTGGGTTGTTTAGGGTTGGATGCATACTGGTCACCCTCAGTCGCTTCTGTGCCTCCCCGCGCTGCAGGCCGCGGCGCTGGTGGCAGCCCTCCGCCTGCTGACCTGGCTGTGGCGCCGGTACCGCGGCGCGGGGGCCGCCGCCTTCCTGGTGCTGTGCCTGCTGGCCTCCCTGCTGGCAGCCCCGCAGCTTCTGGGAGCAGGGCGGCAGCACGTGGCCGCCTGCCGCGGGCAGGAGGTGCCAAGCAGGGGCGCGCAGCTGCTGGAGCAGCCTTCGGTGCTGCCCACCGCGGCGCCTCAGCCGGCGGCTGGCCAGCTGCAGCTGCGGCAGCCGCCCACGTGCAGAGCGTCCCACCGTCCTGCTGTGACGGGGCGCGGTCAAGGTAGGCTGGCAGCTTTTTCTATTTGAGTAATACAGCTTGGCAGGCACCCCAGCAAGCTTGGCAGGCACCCCAGCAAGCTGTGTTGAATCCAGAAGACATAACCGCCGGCATGTGACCGTCTTTCCGCAGGCGGCGGTGTGTCGGCTGGGGAGCCTGCACGCCTGGCGCGCCCCGACGCCGGAGGTGAGTGGCGCCTGGCTGCTGGCCCTGCACGTGTATGACGTTGTTCCGCTGCGTTGCCGTGACAGCGACCCTGCCGCCATCGCTGCCGCCGCCGCCGCCCACATCAGGTGGCCCTTCTTCTGCAGGCATGTGCCCGGTGATGCCGGTGAATGGTGCGGCGGGCGAGGGCGCGGCCACCGGCGGTGGTGGAAGGTCGGCCGCCGAAGCAACTCTACCAGGCGAGGCTGGAGAAAACACGCCCGTGCTCTCGGCCTGGGCCTGGGCTGCAGCGGAGGCAGGTGGCAGGGCGAGAGCAGATGCTGCTGCATGCTTTCTAAGAGGCAGGCGCTGCGTTCGTTGCTCCCCTTGTGCTGCAGGCGGCATTGTCGGCGGGCACACCATCGTCCCTGCCCAGCCAGAGCAAGCCGGTCTGGCACAATTCTCCCCACGTGAGGCCCTGACGGCAGCCACAGATGTGTGTGTGTGTGTGCCGGCTCTGCTGTGTGCCGTGCTGTTGGTCGGTGCGCCGCCCAGAATGCCGGCCTCTCTGCATCATCTGCTGCAGATGTGTGCCCCCTGCCGCCGCTGCCGCCCTTCGTCGGCGACACCTGCCCGCCGGATGCTGCCTGCGACGACGCCAGCCTTGGCCTGGACGCCCTCCCGGCACCTGCGACCATGCCCAGCAGCAGCCCCGCCAGGGAGTCGGACAGTGCGCCTGGTAAGCTGCCGGCCAGCCGTGGCGGGGTGGCTGGCGGAGCCGGTAGTGGTGCTGCTTCTGTTCCAGTGCAGCGGAGCACATGCGTGTCTGTGCCAACGACTGAGGGCTGCGGGGACCCTTCCTTCTTGCTGCATAACGTGGCTTGGCTTCTGCAGCAAACGAGGGCGGCAAGGCAGGCGCTGCATCAGGCTGGCGAGTTTGGGTGCGACGTCTGGCCGGCGCAGTTTTGGGTGAGTAAAATGTGTTTTCTAGCTTCTTTGGGATTTCACCTCCAGCTGATGTGCGTGGGATGCGCGCGCAGCGTGGATGTCTGAGTTCTGCTGTGCCTGCTCACCATGTGCAGTTGCATTTGGCTTTCCGATAGTGCTGGTGCAAGCAACCACAGAGTTTTTGATACAGATGAATGAGCTGCCGATGTTCCGCGGCATGCAAGCTTTATGCACACTCATCACGGTTGCCTTGGGCTTATGGCTGTGCTTTGCGCTGTGATGTCTGATGTGTCGAGATGCAGCAGTTAAGCAATTCACTGCAGTGACAGGGCGCGTTCTGCACTTGAGCAACAATGTTTCCGGTGTAACGACGGGGACTATGGGGATGAATAAATGTGGACGGCCGACTCACCGCCATGCTGGCGCGGGCAGGACCGCGCTGGATTGATTGAGGACGGGCGGAACCAGCTCTTACCAATTCGTTTAGCACTTGATTTGCTCTTCAATTACAGTTCCCGCGCTATTCGAATAGCTCCCATCGAGAGATTGGTGTGTGTCAGTTGGGGCCGGCGCCTGCACTGGAGCGCTTGTTCCACCCCAGTTTTCCCGTACATGGCCTGATTCATTGAACATAGCCTCTAGCGTTCCTTCGGTTGGCGGTGTGCTGCTGAACTTTCGGTGGCACGCTGTGGACAAGCAACCGGTACGTTGCACCTGCACCGTCAATTGGACCGTGCTCGGCAGTGCTTTGCAGCAGCCAGAGTGCGCTCCAAGCCTTTGACATGAGGGCCCATGTCACCTCTCCGCAGGGCTTGGGAGCTGCGGAGCCGCGGCGCTGGAAGCCCAATCGACATTCAAAGCATGGGGGGCTTTCGGTTGGTTCTGGCGGAGGGGATGGGCCCAGATGTCCTGCAGCAAAACGAGCCTGCAGCTACGATGTGCCTCAGCGGTGCCTCAGCGGCAGTGCAGGTCGCCGCGGGAGTGAGCAGCGCACCTCTTGCGGTGGCTGCGCTAGCGCCCGCGCAGGCGGCGGAAGCGGGCCAGTGCGGCGAGACCGCTCGCACCGCGGCAGCAGGTGTGGGGGCAGAGGCGCCGGACGGGGCTGAGGCCATGGCAGCAGAGCAAGGACAGCGCTCCTGTCGGAAGAGGCGGCTGGAGGAGCAAGTTGACGGAAGCCTGCAGGCGACTGTGGAGGGCGGGCCAACGGCACCATCTGACCTCCAGGACTGGTGGCTTCCTGTTCGCCTGCTGCACCTCCTGCACTATGGGGAGTTTATCACTAGTATGAACGACATCTTCTTTGCTGGCAAGCGCCTTCCCATCGCCTCCAGCAAGCGGCGCAAGGTCGACACCGTGCCGGCCACTGCCACCTTGCCGCCTGCGGCAGAAGCAGCAGGCGCCCAGAATGGCGCCGCGGCAGGAGTGGCAGAGGCGCCCACCGCAGCGCCCCGCGCGGCCCCGCCCACCTACGGCCCATTTGTGGTGGGCAGGGCGACCCCGGCGGCGCACACGCGCGGCGGCGGGCGGCGGAGCCTGCCGCACAGCAGCCGCTCCGCCACGCCCGCGGCGCCGGCGCCGGCAGCGCGCTCGCCTCGCGCCGCCGCCCTGGCAGCGGGCGGCGTCAGCCAGCACGGCGCCAGCCCCATGACGGCTGCAGCGGCCGCTCCGTCGCCCACCCCATCCCGCAAGCACGCCATGTCCGCCGCACTCCCTGAGGAGCAGGTGAGGCCAGGTGGCATGAGGCCTGGTGGACGTTGCATCTGCTGCAGCAATACATTGCTCTGCCGGCAGACAGAAATCCAGAATCCGCTCCCGCCAAGTGTGCCGCCCGACGCCCGCCTGCCTCCTGCAGAGTGCGACGCTGCGCGGCACGGCGGCGGGCACGGGCCACGAGCCGCCGGGCATCGCGCTGGACGTGGCGCAGCGGCGCAGGAGCGGGGGCCAAGGCCTGGGCTCTCCCAGCCCTCTGGGCCAGGTGTGTGTGAGCGGCAGCTGGCCTGCAGCTGGCCTGGCGGTACTGGCATGCCGCCGGTGATTAGGGCTGCTGCCCCAGGGTGGATGCGATTCGGCGGTTTTGAGCTCCCACTGACTCAACCCACGCCCCGGCACCTCCCCTTCCCTGCAGGCTGTCCCTGATGGCGGCGCGCTTCAAGGAGAGCCTGCCCCCTCACCTACCACTCTGGCAGCAGGCGCACCTGGGGCGCACGTTCCTGAGCGCTTTCCGCCGCCGCTGCTGCCGCCAGCAGGGCGCCGCGGCCCTCGCGGCTCGCTCTCGCTGCCCGGGGCTGTGGCCCTGTTGGCGGCGCCAGCTCTGCCGGCAGGCGCGGCCCGCCTCGCAGCAGTGCAGGCATCGGCTGGCACCCAGACCGATGCCGCGGGCGCGGGCGAGAACGCGCCGCCAGCAGCGGCAGCAGCAACAGGACCGCTCGCGGGCACGGCTGCACCTGCACCAGCAGGTTCATTGACGCGGCAGCAGCGGCACCGGGGTGACGCTAAGGGCGCCGGCCGCGCGATCGTGTCGCCTGCGCAGCAGGGCGCCAGCACCCCGCTGCGGGAGCGCAACCGCCACGAGGACGCTGCGCAGTCGCGCGCTCCCGCTGTTGGCCAGCCGGCCTCCGGCGGCGCCCTGTGCAGCGCCCAGGCGGCGCGCCCAGCGCGTGGGCCCGCGCCGCTGCACGGTGCACGCCTCCCGTCCGCCCCATCCCGGGCCCAGGGCGTCGCCACCTCCCCGCCGGGAAGCCCCAGGGTGAGTGCAGTGTGTTGGGTGGATGTCTGCCAGTTGCTCCAACTGGGAAGGCAGCTGTGTGCTCTGGCATGGGCCCTGCAATGACCAGCCTGCTGTCGGCCCACCCTTTGGCAACCAGCTGTATGTGCGGCCAGCCGATGCGGCCACCGGGGCTGCTGCCTTACACTCGCACACCTGCCTGCCCCTGCGGCCGCTGCCTGCCGCCTGCAGGTGTCTGCCCTGTCTGGCGACGGCGGCGCTGCGCTGAGCGACGCCGACCCCGGCTCTGGCAGCCTGCCGCCTGCCGCGCTGGGGGACGCTGAGCACAACCTGGCTGCCATGCTGGTGCCGGTGAGTGGGGCACGGCCTTTGGTGGCTCGTCCTTCTGCCTTGTTGTGGAGAAGGGCTGGGCCCGGGTGCTGCCTGCGGGCGAGCCTCCCGCGCCGCACCCCGCACCCGCCAGCTCCCCTGCTTCCCCGGCATGCTGCAGGAGCTGCCGGACGGCGCCGATTGCCTGCGCGGGCTGGCGGCGGCCTGGGATGCGCTGACCAGGTGGGTTGGCGGCATGCGAGCTGGCACGACTGCCGACTAGGCTGCTGGTCCCGCATCCTGCTACGTATTGGCGGGCTGGGCTAGCCGCCGTGCGCTCTCTTTGTGCGCCGCCAACTCACATTGCACTGCACCTCCCTCCTGCCTGCCTGCCTGCAGTGTGCATGCTTCTCTGCCAAGAGGCAGTGGTGCCGACGTGGCGGGGGAGGGCCCCGCTGCCGGCCACCAGCAGACCGAGCAGGTGCGTGTGCAGGTGTCGGGCGCGTCGGTGGCAGGTGGCGGATGCCGGCGGCTTGCCAGTGGCTGCAGCGGGGCTGGCCTGGCTTGGCACCAGCATTTACATACATTGCAGGCCTGGAAGCCCGCCAGCAGGATTGCCCACAGAACTCTCACCGCGCTGTCGCCGCCCCCCCCTGCATAGCCTGCCGCCCAGGCGGGCGCTGCTGCTGGCGGCGAGGATGATGCGGACGGCCTGCGGCTGGAAGAACTGCTGCCTGAGGTGAGTGGCTGGCTTGTCTGGCTGATGCCTGCAGGTAGAGAGCTTGGGGGCTGCCCTGCTGGCTGGTGGCTGCCTGTCTTCTGCACATGTGCTGCAGATGCAGGAGTCGCGGCCTGCGGCCGCCACTGCCCTCAAGCCGCGTGTTCACTGTCACCTCTGCGCCTTTGCCGGTTGGCCCCCCCGCAGCAGGTCAAGGCTCTGTTGTCGGGCTCCCCGGCTGCCCTGGGCGACCGCCATTCCAGGGTGGCGGGCGTGGCGCAGGCGTGCAGCGCTCTGGTGCATTCGGTGCCGCAGGAGCAGGCTGCCCCCTTGGCGGCGGCGCTGGTGTGCAAGGTGTGGAAGCCGGGTGGGGTGGGGCCACAGCTGCCTGCCGCTTCGGGCCCCAACTTGGGGGCACATCGAGCGGCCCTGTTTCTGCCCGGTTTGTCGCCCAAGGGGTGTGCTGGTGCTGCTGGGGGCCGCTGTTGGGCCGTGTGCGCCAGGGCATGGGCTCTGCCTATTCCCGCCACTCCAGCCAGCCACCCATGCAACCCCCACTGCCGTGCAGGCGGTGGACATTCAGGAGCCGCTGCCGTGGCCCCCGCATCGCCTCCGATTGCTCCGCATTGCGGCGGATGTGCTTCGCAGGTGTGCTGGCCCAGCGCACTGCCCGTTCCCTGCAGCGCACCGCAGGCCCGCTGTGCCCCTCACCGTGCTGCCCGCCATTCCCGCCGTGCTCTGCAGCGTGAGGAGCTTCCCCTCAGCTGCGGTGCCGGACATCCTGCGCCCCCTGCTGGGTACCATCTGCCGTGTGGTAGCTGCCGCAAAGGTGCGCATGCCTGCTGCCCCTGCAGCTGGACAAGCGCCCATCTGCACGTCTTGGCCTGCAGATGGCAGCCACCTCGCTCCCTGGCCGCAACCCTCTGTTGCTGTCGCTGTGCTGCAGGGCAGCCCTGCGGCTGGCGAGTGCACCCGTGCGATGCAGCTGCTGATGGGGCTGCTGCACCAACTGCTCCGCGGTGCGGCGTGCAACGGCTGGCGGCGGGCCTGCCTGCTGCACCAGTTTGCTAACCTCTTTTCGCCGCTCTTTCCCAGCATTGTGTGGCCCCGGCGCTGCTGCAGGGCCCGATGGGGACCAGGCCTGGCCTGCTGGACTGGGGCTGGACATGCGTGATGGCATGTCGAGCCTGTTGCAGGCTGTCTGGGCCATGGATCGCTGGTGAGATCGGCTGGGCCTTGCGTAAGGGCGTGCCGCCGCTCTGCCTGGCGCCTGGACCCCGCCATGCCCCAGCTGCCAGCAGGCCTCTGCTTGCTGCCTGCGCGGAGGCCCTGCCTCCATGCCTGCACGCACCCATGTTCCTACGTGCCTTGTGGTGGACTGTTGTGTACTTGCAGGCCGATTCCCGTAGTCACCCAGGCAACCGAGCTGACCATGGATCTGATCGACGCCATGGGCAGCGCCCGCTCACAGGTGGGTTTCGTAGAAAGCGCAGCTGCACCCTGCGGGCATGCCAGCGAGATGAGCTGTCCATGGCAGACGGCTGCTGCGCGCAGCCTGCTACGGGCTTCCTCTTCCTCCTTTCCTCCTCCCTCCTCTTCTCCCTCCTTTCCTCCTTTCCTCCCGCCCTCCCTCGCGCGCAAGCCCACCCCAATTGCTGTTGCGGTAAACTGTAGGAGCCTGCCAGTGGCAGAGACCACAGCATGTCAGAGGGCGAGGACATCCCCGCAAGCCAGCAGCAGCCCGGCCAGGTGCGTGCGCCCTTGTGAGTTGGATCAGCTGCCGGCATGCTTGTGTCTGGGCTGCCGCACAGCCCTGGCGCTGCCGCCGGCGCTGGCTGGTCTGGTCTGCCGTCCTCCTGGTTTGATCAGCAGAGGGAAGGCCCAGTGTGTCAGGGCATTCCTGCCAGCTCAAACATCGCCGCCTGCTGCCTTTCGGCCTGCTGCAGTTGGTGGAGGGAGAGGATGGTGACAGCGGTCAGCTGGGTGGGGTCAGCCCTGTTGGCGGCATCCCCGGCACCTGCAGGTCAGGTGGTGGCATCCCCAGCTGGGTGCTGCGTGGTAACAGAAGTCGCCTTGGCGGGCTGGATAGTGGAGGCAGCCCCAGCTGGCAGGCGGGCAGTGGCAGCCCGGGCTGGGGGGGGATGGAGGAGCTGTTGGGGAATGTCGAAGAAGCGGGTCAGCTGATGCAGCTGCAGCAAGAAGAGGCGCAGGCAGCTCATGGCATGCCTGCACAGCCTGTGGAGGGTTCTCTGGCACACCGCCCTGCCAGACGCGAGCTGCGCTACCAGCATCAGCCTGTGGATGCAGGTGTGCTGCCTGCCGTGCCCGACGCTGCATGCCGCAACAGCGCAGCAGCTGCTGGCGCAAGGCGTGTGGAGACCTTCTTCCCGCGGCGCCCTGCTGGGCATGCGATGCGTTCCAGCCAGCAGCTTGGCGGTGCAGGCATGCCGCCTGCCGGGGCCGTCGCAACCTGCAGCGTTGGTGCAGCTGCTGGCTCTGGCCACGTGCCGCACCTGGCACCAGCTGCACCTGGCTCTGGCATGTTTGGCGGCGCTGGAAGCAGCATCGTGGCAAGAAAGGGTGACAGTGGCAGCAGCGCCAGGCCTGTTGGCAGCAGCGGCGGCGGCGGCAACTCACGGGGCGCCGCTGGAAACTGCCCTTTGCCAGAATTTTTTCATTCAAGCTGGGTGAGGCTGGATGGCAAAGGTGCCTGTTGATGTGCTGTTGTGGATGGGCTGAGCGGTGGGTTGCGGCGCGTGCATGGGGGTTTAGTCCCCCTGGAGTTGTCAGCCTTCCTCGTGTTGACACTTTCCTGCCGCCGCTGCTGATGCAGGCGGCCATGAACAACCCTGCTGTGGTGGCATCGCTCCGCGCATGTGTGGGCCAGCCGTGCGTGGCCGCCGCCGCGGAAGCGCTGCAGAGTGGGACGGCTGTCGCACTCAACGCCAACGTGAGGAGGGAATGGTGGTGCTAGTTCATCCTCGGGAACATCGCAACCTGACGCTGTGTTTGGAAACAAACGTCTTGCCTATCGCCTCCTGCGCTGCAGGAGATGGAGGTCCCCGGTGCTGCTGGCAAGTTTGTGTTGCGTCGCCTGCAGGTGCCAGACGGCGATAAAGTGCTGAAAGCGGAGGTGTTTGGTGGCCAATGCTCCTGCTGGTATCCGGTGCGATGCTGCTGCAACCAGCGCGGGCCCATTGCACTGTTGTGCAAGCAGCTTGTGCAACCACAACTCATATGGGGACCTACTTCGTCCTGCGCTGCAGCTGATAGCCTTGCGGGCCATTCGCGACAAGTTTGTGCGGGGGGCAGCACATGTGGTGGCCACCGAGTTGGTCCTGCTGGTGCCGTTTGGACTGGCCGACCTGTCGTCCAGGATCCGCTTCCTGGTGGCCTTCTCCGGGTGAGTTCGCTCAGCCAAGCACTGCTCCAATGACCATGCATGCCTGCTGGCTGCCACCGCCCATGGCCAGGCTTTAACATTCCTTGCTGCTGCCCATGCCCTTCCATGCAGCGAGGCACGGAAGGGCGTGAAGGGCCAGGGCCCCTTCTGGTTCAACCTGCAGCAGGCACGCCAGGAGCTGGGCAGGGATGCGGATGGTATCAAGATGGCCGCCGCAGCGCTGTCGCAAATGAAATTGGCAGGTGGGCGCGTTGCTGTGCGCCAGTCATGCCGGGGCGCCGGGGCAGGCCCCCTTGCTTTGCACCACTGTGACAGGATTCTGCTACCACATGCTGGTTTCTGCAGGGCAGAGCGCGGCACACATTATGATCTTTGCAGTGCACCCAGCATCGCACCGGATTTGGGCGGCATGTGTGCGCGCCGAGCGTGGCAGCGGGCAAGTGCTGAGGTTGGAGCTGTTGGAAGGCCAGCACCGGTGAAACAGTCGGCGCTATAAGTCAAAGTGGTCTACAGGCACTCTTGTGTGTGTGCCTGCCTGATTCTGGTAGTGGGGAAAGAAAGCTGTCTGCCTTTACATCTATTTTATTGAACCCGTTGGCACCTGCCCACCTGGCACATCGCGTCAGCATCTGCGCGATGTATTACATTCGTAAACAGCAGCCGGGAGCCGCAGCAGAGCCTCCAGCTGGCAGCGCCGCATGCCACCTTCACCCGCCAGGCTGGCACCCAGCTCTCGTGTCCGCCACTCACCGCTGCGCAATAAACAGGTCGGCTCCTGCCCGCCCCGCATCGCCGCCGGCCTCTCTGGATGCGCCAGGCAATAAACAGCAGGTTTGGGCAGCAGCAGAGCCTCCAGCTGGCAGCGTCTGCCGCCTTCCACCGCCAGCCTGGAGCCCATCTGTCGCCGCCGCCACTCACCGCTGCGCAACAAACAAGTCGGCTCCTGCCCGCCCCGGCTCGCCGCCAGCCTCTCTGCATGTGCCAGGCAATAAACAGCAGCCTTGGGCCGCAGCAGAGCCTCCTGCTGGCAGCGCCGCATGCCGCCTTCACCTGCCAGGCTGCCGCTGCCCGTCGTCGCCGCCACTCGCCGCTGCGCAATAAACAGGTCGGCTCCTGCCCGCCCCGCATCGCCGCCGGCCTCTCTGCATGTGCCCGGCAATAAACAGCAGGAGGTAGCTACAGAAGAGCCTCCAGCTGGCAGCGCCGCATGCCGCCTTCCGACGCCAGCCTGGCGCCCAGCTGTCGTCGCCGCCACTCGCCGCTGCGCAATAAACAGCAGGGCTCCTGCCTGCCCCGCATCACCGCCAGCCTCTCTGCATGTGCCCGGCAATAATAAGCAGGTTTGGGCCACAGCAGAGCCTCCTGCTGGCAGCGCCGCATGCCGCCTTCCGACGCCAGGCTGCCGCCCAGCTGTCGTCGCCGCCACTCCCCGCTGCGCAATAAACAGGTCGGCTCCTGCCCGCCCCGCATCGCCGCCAGCATCTCTGCATGTGCCCGGCAATAAACAGCGGCTTTGGGCAGCAGCAGAGCCTCCAGCTGGCAGCGCCGGATGCTGCCTGCCGCCGCCACTCACCGCTGCGCAACAAACAAGTCGGCTCCTGCCCGCCCCGCATCGCCGCCAGCATCTCTGCATGTGCCAGGTAATAAACAGCAGGTTTGGGCCACAGCAGAGCCTCCTGCTGGCAGCGCCGCATGCCGCCTTCCGACGCCAGGCTGCCGCCCAGCTGTCGTCGCCGCCACTCCCCACTGCGCAATAAACAGGTCGGCTCCTGCCCGCCCCGCATCGCCGCCAGCATCTCTGCATGTGCCCGGCAATAAACAGCGGCTTTGGGCTACAGCAGAGCCTCCTGCTGGCAGCGTCGCATGCCGTCTTCCGACGCCAGGCTGGCGCCCAGCTGTCGTCGCCGCCACTCGCCGCTGCGCAATAAACAGCAGGGCTCCTGCCTGCCACGCATCGCCGCCAGCATCTCTGCATGTGCCAGGTAATAAACAGCAGCTTGGGGCCACAGCAGAGCCTCCTGCTGGCAGCGCCGCATGCCGCCTTCCGACGCCAGCCTGGCGCCCAGCTGTCGTCGCCGCCACTCCCCGCTGCGCAATAAACAGGTCGGCTCCTGCCCGCCCCGCATCACCGCCACCATCTCTGCATGTGCCCGGCAATAAACAGCGGCTTTGGGCAGCAGCAGAGCCTCCTGCTGGCAGCGCCGCATGCCGCCGTTCGACGCCAGGCTGGCGCCCAGCCGTCGTCGCCGCCACTCACCGCTGCGCAATAAACAGCAGGGCTCCTGCCTGCCCCGCATCGCCGCCAGCATCTCTGCATGTGCCCAGCAATAAACAGCAGGTTTGGGCCACAGCAGAGCCTCCTGCTGGCACAAGCGCAGCATGCCGCCTTCCGACGCCAGCCTGGCGCCCAGCCGTCGTCGCCGCCACTCACCGCTGCGCAATAAACGGCAGGGCTCCTGCCCGCCCCGCATCACCGCCACCATCTCTGCATGGGCCATGTAATAAACAGCAGGTTTGGGCAGCAGCAGAGCCTCCAGCTGGCAGCGCCTGCCGCCTTCCACCGCCAGCCTGGAGCCCATCTGTCGCCGCCGCCACTCACCGCTGCGCAACAAACAAGTCGGCTCCTGCCCGCCCCGGCTCGCCGCCAGCCTCTCTGCATGTGCCAGGCAATAAACAGCAGCCTTGGGCCGCAGCAGAGCCTCCTGCTGGCAGCGCCGCATGCCGCCTTCACCTGCCAGGCTGCCGCTGCCCGTCGTCGCCGCCACTCGCCGCTGCGCAATAAACAGGTCGGCTCCTGCCCGCCCCGCATCGCCGCCGGCCTCTCTGCATGTTCCCGGCAATAAACAGCAGGAGGTAGCTACAGAAGAGCCTCCAGCTGGCAGCGCCGCATGCCGCCTTCCGACGCCAGCCTGGCGCCCAGCGGTCGTGGCCGCCACTCGCCGCTGCGCAATAAACAGCAGGGCTCCTGCCTGCCCCGCATCACCGCCAGCCTCTCTGCATGTGCCCGGCAATAAAAAGCAGGTTTGGGCCACAGCAGAGCCTCCTGCTGGCAGCGCCGCATGCCGCCTTCCGACGCCAGGCTGCCGCCCAGCTGTCATCGCCGCCACTCGCCACTGCGCAATAAACAGCAGGGCTCCTGCCTGCCCCGCATCGCCGCCAGTACCTCTGCATGTGCCATGTACCAAACAGCAGGTTTGGGCCACAGCAGAGCCTCCTGCTGGCACAAGCGCCGCATGCCGCCTTCCGACGCCAGCCTGGCGCCCAGCCGTCGTCGCCGCCACTCACCGCTGCGCAATAAACGGCAGGGCTCCTGCCTGCCCCGCATCACCGCCACCATCTCTGCATGGGCCATGTAATAAACAGCAGGTTTGGGCAGCAGCAGAGCCTCCAGCTGGCAGCGCCTGCCGCCTTCCACCGCCAGCCTGGAGCCCATCTGTCGCCGCCGCCACTCCCCGCTGCGCAATAAACAGGTCGGCTCCTGCCCGCCCCGCATCGCCGCCAGCATCTCTGCATGTGCCCGGCAATAAACAGCGGCTTTGGGCAGCAGCAGAGCCTCCAGCTGGCAGCGCCGGATGCTGCCTGCCGCCGCCACTCACCGCTGCGCAACAAACAAGTCGGCTCCTGCCCGCCCCGCATCGCCGCCAGCATCTCTGCATGTGCCAGGTAATAAACAGCAGGTTTGGGCCACAGCAGAGCCTCCTGCTGGCAGCGCCGCATGCCGCCTTCCGACGCCAGGCTGCCGCCCAGCTGTCGTCGCTGCCACTCGCCGCTGCGCAATAAACAGCAGGGCTCCTGCCTGCCACGCATCGCCGCCAGCATCTCTGCATGTGCCAGGTAATAAACAGCGGGTTTGGGCCACAGCAGAGCCTCCTGCTGGCAGCGCTGCATGCCGCCTTCCGACGCCAGGCTGCCGCCCAGCCGTCGTCGCCGCCACTCACCGCTGCGCAGTAAACAGCAGGGCTCCTGCCTGCCCACGCATCGCCGCCACTATCTCT